GGGCGGCTTCATCCCGGTGCGTCCTGGTTTCGGGAGTTGTGGGAAGACGCGAGCATCACATAATCCTTAAAAAAAAAAACAACAGCAAAAACTATATAGCCTCAAAACCATGGAGAAAAGGCTGAAGGTTTCAACCAAGGGTCTTGAAAGCAGAGGGCAAATTATAGGGGGCTGAGGATTAAAACCGAAAGCGCGGGCGTCTTTGGGATTTCTAATGATGCGCCTTTGTGACGTTTGAATTAATCTGTAAAAATAAGGTTTTAAACATTATTTCTTTCTTTAGCAAAAGTCAAGTTTTGGCATTAAATAGTTTTAGCCAAGCTCTTTCACCCCGAAATGCAGCAGTGTTCAAATTGAGAATAGGACATGGTATTTTTTGAGGCGCAAGTGCTGACATTGTATTCAGCTACTTATTAAAGCACTTTTCCTTAATCAGTTTAATACTGAAGGTCAACGGTAAATGTTTTGGTGGTTGCAAATGATACAGAAAAGCAGATTGCTGTTTTTCAGGGGAGTTTTTGGGGTGAAAAATTTTAGGGAAATCCCCAAATTTTGTGCTGAATGGAAACTGGTTTGCGGGCAGCTGGTTCAACTGCTCTGCCCAGCGTGAAGCAGGGGCTTGTGGCCACCTAAATGTGCTTTTTATGCCCCAAATCCCCTGTCCTTATGCTAATACAGGAGAGAGGTACTCATGGTCCTCGATGCTTTGGTGATGAGGGTGATAGACATGGCTACAAATAAATAAATAGAGGCTGGTGAATGTCAGAGATGGTCTTCTGGGGGGCTGCAGATTTGAGTATTTGAATATATCCAGGGTGACCTGACCTACTGGTTCCTTGGGGGGTTTTATTGCTGCAGGAGCATTTAGGGATCTGGGTCTTAATACATGCTAAGCTAAATAGCATTTTATCTTGGTGCGTTGATTTAAATCCAGCAGCAGCCCCCTTTCAATGGAGGCGATCGGGTGTTGGTGTGGCTGTTTGGGGAAACTGAGGCACGTGGGGGGGATGCGAGTGGAAAGGGAGCTGGGCTGTGCTTGGGCTCCATCTCCTATAGCAGAATTTTCGGTGGCTTTGCTGGAGAGAGGCTGCCCCGGTCCAGCGAGCATCAACATCTCCTTTGGCCGCTGTTCCTATATCGCTCTTACGTCTTCCTCGCATCCCCTGCCATTGGGGCTCAGCCGAACCCCATCCCTCGGTCCCCCCTCGCCCCGAGCATCCTCCCCGTCCTCCGGCCGCCTTCCCGCCTCTCTGGCCGTTTTGGGATGGGGCTTTGGCAGCATCGCTTGGAAATGCTCTTAAAATAGAGCCGGAGGGCAGCGTCAGGGCGGGGAGGGCCGTCTGGAGGCACCGCCGTCCCCTTGGGGTGGGGACTTCGCGGCCACGCTGCTTTCGAATAATTTTTAGGGGGGATTTTTTGGGGTGCCTATGATGCCGGGACCCTGCCCGGAGGTCGTCGGCGCGTGGCGGGGGCCGGCGGTTTGAGGGTTCGCTCCGGTTTGGTGCACCCAGCGAGTCCCCTAAGTCCAGACTTGGGGTGGAGGTGGGATGGGTGACCCGTTCCTGCAGTGCCGTGTTGGGCTGCTCGTGGGACTAAACCGATCCAGAAGGCCAAGGTGGTGATGGTGGAAAAGAGCAAAACTGTGATTTTTATTTATTTATTTTTTTAAATGATTATTTGTTAATTTAAAAAAAAATGTATTTTTTAAGATATTTTGAAATATATATATATTTTTTAAAAATATTTGCATTTTCCCAGGGGAAGGGTAATGGATTTAACCCTCCCATTAATCCCAATTAATCGGGCTTCTCCGCTCCAGTGGAGTTGCAGGGACGGGAGCTGCCGGAGGGGTATTTCGGGGCGAGTTGGGGTCTTTCTTGGGATCTCACCCCGGCGGGCGCCTCTCATCTTGGCTGGCGCTCCAGCTCCGGGCGAGCTCACGAAAAGCATCTGATAGCAATAAAGAGCAAAAACCTCCCGCTGACAAGCCCGGGCTGAAGTCACCGACGGGACGCAGCCAAGACACGCATTGTCCTCGCCGCTGCTGGGACTGATTAGAGCCGCCTGGCAAGCCCCGGCGCTGGGTGAGGGGTCAGCCCCTTTTGCCAAAAAACCTCGATCCGGAGCAAAAAAAACCGAACACCCAAACCCCCAGCTTTTGTTTTCCAGGCTGTGCAGAGGCGATGCCGCCCGGCGGACCCAATTCCCCCTGTTTTGCACCCATTTCTCCACGGTTGTGGCCATGCTGAGCTTGGGGCATCCTATATAGGGAGCGAGGTGAGATGGATCCCAGGAGGAAAAACCTGAATTCGATTTTTTTTTTTTTTTTTCATAGCGAAAGCAAAGCAGGAGAGGCCCTGGCAAACAGCAGACTGCTCCGCTAAAAGCTTGCTGTCTCTTCAGTGTTCGATATTTATTATATCATTATTTATTTTCTATGCGCTTGGGGGGTGTGAGCCATCCAAGTTCCTCTCGTCAAAATGTCCTTGGCAGTCGCAAGGCTTAGAAAATGGGGAGGGGGGAGTGGGTGGATGGCTGTTCCGGCTGGGATGCAGCATTTCATAACAAATATATATAAAGAGTGTTTATGTATTTATATATTTTTGTGTTTATATATTTATAAAGAGTTTAAATTTATATAAATGAATGTAGAAAATATAAAAAAAATATAAATATATATATAAAAATATATATAACCCCCCCCCTCTTTGCCCCACTCCATGCTGCAGAGCCAAGTATTTGGCAAAGAGCTGGTTTTTCCCTGTTTTCCCCAGGTACGAGCGTTTGCTGGGGCTCTCCGGGACCATTGGGACCATGCGAAGCTGACGCCCCCGTTGGTTGGGCGGGTTGGTTGCAGAGCAGAAATGCAGTGAAAATGAAATTTTTGGCAGGGAGGGGGAAGGTTTTTTTTTGCTTGTTGAGAAAACAGAGGAGAAAACACCCTTTTTTATTATTTAAGCATTTTTGTCTGTGTGCGCTTTTGCCTTTGGCTCACAAAAAAAAAAAAGTCAGACAAAACGTGTCTTGCTGGAATTCATGTATTGACCAAGAGCTGCCATTTGTCCCAGAAAAAATGGGAGCTGAGAAACTTTTTGGAGCAGGAGGTGCAGGATAAACGCAGCAGGTTGAACCCTTTCTGTCCGCCACTGTTCTGCACCATGTCCTTGGTCACATCCCGCGATGGTGGGGAAAGAGGGTGTTAATTTGGCCCGGATCCATCTCCATCCATGAATTGGGTATTCAGCACAGAAAACCAAAGGGCAGCAAAGGGAAAGGGGATATCCCACCTGCTTTTAATACAGGGCGCGGGATTTAGGGTATGGGATATCCCTTACATTCGGGATGCAGCTGGCAAACCCATCCTGGGGCTCAGGTATCCCCAGGAGAGGTGATGAACGTCCAGGGGTGGTCTGTACCATGCAAAATACATGTGAGCTAAATTAATTATCCAGCAAAGGCAGCCTGGGAAGTGTTGGCAGTCGCAGCATTTCGTAGTGTCGTGGTTTAACCCCAGCCAGCAATTAAGCACCACGCAGCCGCTCACTCGCAGTGAGATGGGGGAGAGAATCGGGGAAAAAAAAAGTAAAACTCGTGGGTTGAGATAAGAACAGTTTAATAGAACAGAAAGGAAGAAAATAATAATGATAAGAATAACAATAATAATATGATAATAATAATAAAAGAATTGGAATATACAAAACAAGTGATGCACAATGTAATTGCTCACCACTCGCTGACCGATGCCCAGTTAGCTCCCGAGCAGCGATCTGCCCCACTCTGGCCAACTCCCCCAGTTTATATACTGGGCATGACATCACATGGTCTGGAATACCCCATTGGCCAGTTTGGGTCAGCTGCCCTGGCTGTGTCCCCTCCCAACTCCTTGTGCCCCTCCAGCCTTCTTGCTGGCTGGGCATCAGAAGCTGAAAAATCCTTGACTCAGACTAAACACTGCTTACCAACAACTGAAAACATCAGTGTGTTATCAACATTCTTCTCATACTGGATCCAAAACATAGCACTGTACCAGCTACTAGGAGGAGAATTAACTCTATCCCAGCTGAAACCAGGACATGCAGCCTGGGGATGCTGCTCACTGATTTGAATTTTTCCAGGTATTGCTTTTCCCCAGGCAATTCAAAATGGGCTTTAAAAAAGCGCATAAATCATCCCGGTGAATCCAGCTAGCGAGTTAGCTGCTAACGTGAGCCAGAGCACGTGGTGTAATTCGGCAAATATTAGGGGATATTGTGTTTTATGTAATTATCTTGTAGAAGCAGGGAGGTTTAAAATCCTAATTTCCTTCTATTTAAGGGGTTAAATCTCAGCTGGTGCCTAAAATTGGCTTCCCGCGTGGGGCAAATGTCCCCTCGGGGTCTCCATGTGGTTCAGGAGGTTGAGGTATCCCCTCTCCTGCTTGACATCTCCTCCGCCTGAGCGTGGAGAGCTGAGCCAGGCTTTGGACCTCCTTGGTGGTGGGGTGGCTGTGGTGCCTCCTACCCAGGCTGAAGGGATGTCCATGGGTGCTCGTATGACCTTCGCCTGTCCTTTCATTGGGCTTTCTCCTCTTCGGTTGAGTCTCCCGGTCTCAAGTTGGTGGTGGAGCTTCTTGGTTGGTGTCTGCAAGCTGGGCCTGGTATTGGAACTGTTTGGTTGGCATCTCCAAGCTGGGCCTAGTGGTATTGCTTCTTGGTGTTTTGAAGCTGGGTCTGGTAGTGGAGCTTCTTGGTTGGTATCTCCAAGCTGGGTCTGGCAGTGGAGGTTCTTGGTTGGCATCTCCAAGCTGGGTCTGGCACTGGAGCTTCTCGGTTGGCATCTCTGACTTGGGATGCATGGACAGGGACGGGTGGCATGGCTGGCTGGGTGTTTTCCTGGGGAAAAAGCCCTTCTGAATGATTTTATTTCCTTCCTCCCCACAGCTGATAGTCGAAAAAACGACTGACTACCCTTCGGCTGAGTACTCCCTGGTGGAGGATGTAGCCCTCCACTTCACGTGTTTGATGGACAGACTGAACGAGCAGCGCCTCTTTCAGCCGGACCTGTGTGACGTGGACATCGTGCTGGTGCAGCACAAAAGCATCTTCCCGGCGCATAAGGGGGTCCTGGCGGCCTACAGCCAGTTCTTCCACTCCCTCTTCACCCAAAACAAGCAGCTGCAGCGCGTGGAGCTCTCTCTGGAGGCCCTCACCTCGCAGGGCCTCCAGCAGATCCTCAACTTCATCTACACGTCCAAGCTCCTCGTCAACTCCTGCAATGTGCAGGACGTGCTGAACGCGGCTGCCGTGCTGCAGATGAACAACATTGCCTCCTCCTGCCAGAACCTCCTCGACACCCGCTCGCTCAGCCTGGCCGCCGACATGGCCCTGCCCGCCGAGGGCTGCACCGGACCCCCGCCCTACTACTGCGAGATCAAGCAAGAGGTGGATGCCCCCCATCCCAAAATCTACGCCCGGGAAGGCAACGACCCCTACTCGGTGCGGGTGGAGGATGGAGCGGGCGGTGGGACGCTCCCGCCTGGTCCAGCCAAGCAGTACTACAAGGAGGAGAAGGATGATGGGCCGGGCGCTGTCTGTAAGATGGAGGGCGAGGAGTCCGAGGAGGACCTGGACAGCCAGGGCTCATACAACCGGGAGCAGATCATCGTGGAGGTGAACCTCAACAACCAGACCCTCAACGTCTCCAAAGGCATGGAGGGGAAAGCAGCCGCCAGCGAGGCGGCTGTGATGGGGCGGCCTGATGGCGATGGGCATGACACGGAGGAGGATGGGGAGGGGGAGAACGAGGAAGGAGAGGAGGAGGAGGAAGAGGAGGAGGATGCGGAGGTGGGCGAGGAGGAAGAGGAGGAGCACAGCGAGGAGGAAGACCTGGAGGAGACGACGGAAGAAGAGGACGATGACGATGACGACGAAGACGCGTCGGAGGTGAAAAGGGAAAAGGGTGGGCAGCCCCGCAGAGGCAGCCGGGCGTCCAAATCCACCAAACCTGCCATGGCAACCAGGTCCCAGGAGATGGCCAAGGTGGAAGAGGAGGAGGAGGAGGAAGAGGAAGGCCAGCGAGGGAGGAAGAGGAAAAAGGAACAGGATGGTTTGGGCCAGAAGGTGAAGCTGGAGGAGAAGCAGCACTACCCGTGCAAGAAGTGCCCCCGGGTCTTCAACAACCGCTGGTACCTGGAGAAGCACATGAACGTCACGCACAGCCGGATGCAGATCTGCGACAAGTGCGGCAAACGCTTCCTCCTCGAGAGCGAGCTGCTGCTGCACCACCAGACCGACTGCGAGAAGAACATCCAGGTGAGCCAGCCCTGGGGACGTCCCACCAAGGTGGTGGAGATCCCACCAAGGCGGTGGAGCATCCCAGTGGGGATGGACATCCCACCAAGGTGGGGACATCCCACCAAAGGAGCATCCCACCGTGATGGGACATCCCAGTGGGGGAGGGACATCCCACCCACCATGGAGGACATCCCGCCCAGCTACACCGTGGGTTGGGTTCATGCTCAAATAATATTTTTGCTGTTGCGGTTGGCACATGGCAGACGGGAGGGAACCTTACTTCACCCATGACTCGTACGCAGGCTCAGGAGGGTCCCACGGTAGCATGGGACCAGAGGATTTGTGCCTGGGGACTCTGGCTTCCCCTTGGCCAGCTGGGTGGAAACATGGAGTAATTTTTGAAGAATAATTTTTCTTTGAGTTTATTCCATTAATCTGGATAAAACATTGCAAGCCCCTGATGGAGACACACTCCGGCCGTTCCCACCCAGGCTGAAACCAATTTAGCTTAATTCCAAGATTTGCTGACATGAGTTGAAATGGTTTTAATCTGCCTTTTGTGCTCTTTAGCTTGCGTATTAGCAAATTTCCGAATGCATCTGACATCCATGCGTGGCTCCGGCTTGGTGTGTCCTTCACCTAATGCTAACGAGATTCCGCGTTTGCAAATTGACTCCGTTAAATCAGTGCACTTTTGGGGGGATAGGTAGGCATCCCATCAGAGCAGCAAACGTGCATTCCTGCAGACCCCTCCAACCCATCTCCTAATCCGCAACAAGCTGTTTTGCATGACGCTGCGGCTACTAATTAAAAAAATACCAACTTCTGGAGAGCTTTCCCCGTCATCCTTCCTGCCAGCGACCGGATCTTAAATGGTCTTGCAGCCCTCCTAAATGAAGGTAACGCAACCCAAGTGCTACTGGAGCCCTTTGCCGATGGCACCCCAAATAAAATGGGGAATGAAGCAGATCTGGGCACTAGGGTGTGTGGGGAATACGGAGGCATGAGTGGTCTTGGCTCAAGCGGGTGAAGGAGCTGTTGCCTGCACTGACCTGTTGGTGCATCTTCCTGAAAAATTCACAGTGCTGAGGTTGCTTTTTTTTGGATGTTTTTTTTCCCAGAATTGGGCAAGTGCAGCTCTGATACCTGCATAGTGGTGGCTGTTTCGGAGACTATTGTAAAGCCTGTGCAATTAAAAATGAGTTTTCCTAGAACATTTCTTCAGCCTCATCTTCTTTTCTGATGGATAACATGGGGCTGTCATCACCTCACTGCTTTTTTTTTTTTTTTTTTTCCCCTTTTTATCCCTTTTCCAGGTGATTTCTGAGTAGGATGAACCACAACTGCCCATGCAGTGACCTCCTTCCACGGAAAAAGTGGATCATTACCTTAGTAATGAGTTGAGCGTTTTTAATTTTACAAATAGCCAAATTCACTCCATTTGCTCTGATAATATTGAATAACTTTATCAATATACCATGGAATTATAGCTGGATGGAAAAGAGATTTTTTTTCAACTTTATACCTATAATGGACAGTCTTTATTTCTTGTTTTTTAACCAGATCTGTGGAGGGACCATCCCTCTTATCCCGTTCGGCTCTGCTGTTTTCTTCCCCTGTTTTGTCCCCAAATTTCATCCGTAATGCTTGAGGTGTTAGGCTTCATCTCGCTCCCTGTGATCATTTCCCATTGCCCTCCGCAGCCCCACAGACACCACAACAGTCATCCTGCCCAAGAAATGATTCGTCCTTTGCTTTATCAGGTTGTTTCTCAAACTCATTTTTAGACAGCTTCAGTGTGGTTTTCCTCTTAACCTGCGAGAATTTGTCTTCTCATTTTTTTTTTCTCTCATTTGGATGTTACTTCCACATTTTCGAGTGATGCTTTTTTGCGGTAACTGAGGACACAGGGCTCAGCCCTCCAGGGTGCTTGGTCCCAGCCCAGGGCTTTCTACATCTGCTGCTTTCCCTCTACCTTTAATTTCAAAATTCCCCTGCAGCCTTTTTCATTTTGAGTGGAGAAAATGGATATTGATGTGTCTTTGATACCAGGCTCTGGTCCTGGATTTGTCCTGAAATGTTTCTTAAAGCAGACATAAAATTGTTCTGATCTGTGGAAATATATACTTAGGAAGAGTAAAACTCAGAGGACTACTCATGTTGATATTCAAGGATGGCAAGATGAAGATGATGAGTGTTGGGAATGCCTCTGTGACCCTAATTTTGCCTCTCAGGCACCTAAATATAAATAGAGAGAGAGATACTGTGACTACATGGCATAATGGTATATTTTCCAGGGTATCACAGCCTCATTCAGTGCAAAGTTTGGTTGAAGCCCATCAATGAACATCTGTTCCTCTGGGGAGGAGAAGCCAGAGGAATACCTCCCCAGGCTTACTGGTACCGCTCAGCCGTGCTGTTGCAAGATGCCTCCAAGGCATGAATTATTTTCTCAACACATCTGCAAGGAGAAGGGACGGTTTTATCCCTGTTGGCCAAGAGGAAGATGAGTCATGGAGAAATGAAGGGGAAAGAGTTGACCCTTGGAGGAAGAAAAGACCCTTGGCTCCTGGGAGGGTCCTTGGCCATGTGCTGCCCGCCATCTCTGCGCTCTAGCAGTGGTTTCGTGTGTGGACCTCGCTCTCCCGTGTTTCCCCGAGCACCGAACTGATCTCACATGCTTCAAACAGGTCTCATGCCAAAGTTGGAACTTTTCCTGGGAACTTTCAGAGAAAGATTGAACTACTTGGACCTGAAGCAAATCTCTACCATAACTTCCTGGGGGAGACTTTGCACATCATGTTGTTCTGCTTGTGCTGATGGACTGGTTTTGGGGTCCGTTTTGGTCCATTTGGATATGTTTGGAAAACTTACTTAGTGGTAAAGTATCCATAATATCTGCTGAAGACTGAAGTTGCACTGCCCTGGCTTGGGCTTCTCCTCGTTCCTATATTCTTTGCAGCCTTATAATGCACAGAGGGTTGGGTTTTTTTTTTTATGTAATGGTTTCGTTGTGTGCCAGAATAAAATCCTCATTTAGGAATAGGGCCTTGGTGCACGAGCTGCTGTTTGTGCAAGTCCTGATACAGCCATTGATGGAGATGCCACGTCCTTCCCTGGAAAGTCATTGTCCCTTCCTCATCCGATGGATAGAAATTTGAGTTTTGGAGGTTTTGAAGTGACAAGGTCTGTAGCAGACTTGCTGGTCGTTATGATTTTTGATAGCTGTAGGCTTCATAGTGATGTTCCCTTTCAATGGATGAAGCTGATAGCCTGGTAAAACGAAAATGCTGGTGGTGCCTGGGCACGTTCCTCTGCTTCCCTACCCATCCCCTCTCTCCTTGCAGTGTGTGACGTGCGGGAAGGGGTTCAAGAAGCTTTGGTCTCTCCACGAGCACAACAAGATCGTCCACGGCTACGCTGAGAAGAAGTTCTCCTGCGAGATCTGCGAGAAGAAGTTCTACACCATGGCCCACGTGCGCAAACACATGGTTGGTGAGTGCGGAAGGCAGTGGTGCCATGGGGGGGATCTCGTCTGGGGTGTTCATCCATCATTTTGACAATGAAGGGTGATTTTTTTTGTCGCTGTTGTGTTGGGAGTTTAGGGCTGGGCTTAATCTTGGGTGAGCTTTCTCACGTCCACGCAGGGGCCTTGAAATTTGGCCTTAATGCCGTACATATGTCTGCTCAGTGCTGGGTCTGCAGCAATCAGGCATGGTGCTAGGGAATCTCATTTGCTTTATTTAACCACAAAAAAAGACCTCAGAATTGATCAAACGAGGGCTTGAAGTGTAACCATCCTTCCCTTGTAAAACAGGACCAGATCGCACCGGTGCCAGGCTTTGAAAGCAAATTGCACATGGCAACGGCAGTCAGGTCCCTGGGGCTTGCAGGCACCAAAGAGATCCAAAAAAGGGGGGTTTTGGCAAGCAATTAGGGGAGTATCTGGTATGTTGCTGCCACATATCTTGCCATATGGCATTGAGTTTGCTGGGGCTGCGTGCTGACGCTGGGAGCGGCAGCCAGAACTTGGGGAGATGGATGCTTGGGGTGCGGGGAGAGTGCCTGACCCTGCTCCTCTCCTCTTCAGCTCACACCAAGGACATGCCGTTCACCTGCGAGACCTGCGGGAAGTCCTTCAAGCGCAGCATGTCCCTCAAGGTCCATTCACTCCAGCACTCTGGGGAAAAGCCCTTTAAATGCGAGGTAAGGTCCTGTGTGTCACCCCACCCCGCATCCTCTCAGACAAGGACAAAACCACTGATTTGGGGAAAGATCTTCCACTTCTTGGGGCTTCCCCCACGCTTTGTGCCAGTGCAGCTGTAGGGATGCTCCCACGCTCTTCCAAACTTTGCGTCCCCTCCTGGTTTGAGGGTCCCACCAACCTTATGATGAAACTTGTCCAATGCCGGGATCTGTCCCTGCAGTGCCTGGACCTTGCATCCCATCCCAAGCCCATCCAGCCTGCAAACTTGGCTGGGTATGTCCCGAAAAGCCATTTATTTGGGTTCTTTTGGGGGAAAAAGGTGATTTCTGCACTGCTCCGACATGCTGGTGATCTGGGGGGGAATGTGGGGGGTGTTTTGGGTGCTCATCAACAGCTCATCCCCATCTTGACCCTGCAGAACTGCAACGAGCGTTTCCAGTACAAGTACCAGCTGCGTTCCCACATGAGCATCCACATCGGCCACAAGCAGTTCATGTGCCAGTGGTGCGGCAAGGACTTCAACATGAAGCAGTACTTCGACGAGCACATGAAGACGCACACGGGTGAGAACTCCCCACCTTGCCCCCATCCCGTGCAGGCAGGCGCCTGGGGGAAAAAGCGATGGGATGGGGGTAGCATCTTTGGGTGGATGGCAAGATGGAGTTTTTGAGGGTGAACAATCCGATCACCGGCTTCTCATCCGTCTTCCCCCCATCCTTAGGCGAGAAGCCCTACATCTGCGAGATCTGTGGGAAGAGCTTCACCAGCCGCCCCAACATGAAGCGGCATCGCCGGACCCACACGGGCGAGAAGCCGTACCCCTGTGACGTCTGCGGCCAACGCTTCCGCTTCTCCAACATGCTCAAAGCCCACAAGGAGAAATGTTTCCGAGTCAGCAACCCTTTGGCTTTGGACACGGCTGCCCCCCAACCCGCCGCCAGCCCAGCCCCGCTGCCCCCCGGCCCCGGCGTCTCTCCCCTGCCCCTGCCGCTGCTTCATCCCCTTCCACAGACCCTCCCTCCTCCTCCTCACCTACCGCCACCCCCTCCCCTGTTTCCCGCGGGGAGGATAAATTCGAACAACAACTAGGTGCCCCCCCCTACCCTGGCCGTGCGCCTGCACGGACTGCTCTACCCGTTGGGAACGTCTCCCCCTGGGGAGCCAAGGCTTCGCTTGCTCTCTACCCCCCCTTCCTCCTTGTTTTGGGGTTGTTTTGGGTTTTTTTTCCTTTTTCTCACCCGTCATTCTCTGCAGAAAGGGGGAGCAGGAGGAAGCCCTGCCCTGAGGAGCGTGGGTGTTGAGGGGGGGGGACCGCCGTCCGTCTGTAAGGGTGTAGGTAAAAGGCATCACCCTGTTTCATCTTCCTACCCGTTGGCTTCGTCCTTGTGCCGGGATGCTGGCGGGGCTCGGAGGAGCAGGATGCCGCACCGTCCGGGGTTGAGCGTGCCGGTGTTGCATGCCCGCTCGCTAGCCGAATGAATGCCTGCCGGCGTTTCAATATTTATAATAAGCCGAAATCTAGCTAGTGGTGCTTGAATCCCTGTACTGTAAAGCTGGTCTTTCAATTCAGGCTCTTTTCCCAAGAGGTTGAGAGGTGGGCACCACGGAGGAGCCCCTGCTGGCCCCGTCTGCTGGCCCCGGTGGCCTGCGGTGAGCGAGCAGATGTCCCCGTTGGAAAGTCGTCAGCCTGCTCTCGTTAGCAGCCCTCGCTGCATCTTCCCTCCCCACGATAGGTTTTCCTCCTCGATAGGCGAAAGCACAAACACCGGTGTTGCATCTTGGGGCATCGGCAGCTCGCTGCCGGTTCGTTTTTGGGGTGCCCTAAGGGAGCTGGGCTCTGGTGTGCCCTTTCTGCTAATCCCAGCAGGAGCTGCGCTCCTGGGGATGCTCTGGAGTTGGCGAGGTGTCCCTGGGAGAGCTCTGATGGCCTTGGGACTGGCGGGAGGGTGGCCTGGGACAGAGGATGCCGCTGTTTCTCGGCAGAATCAGCCCAGAATAGTGCCTTAACAATTCGAATAAACCCCTGACTGACGGGTGAGCTCCAGGTTGGGTCCCATTGCAAGGTTCAGAGCTAAAGCAAGACCCCATTCAGCCTGATTACGATGTCCCATGCCTCCAACTTGTTGCCCGTGTGACTCTCCCAAGCTTCGCCTCTCCCCGTGGGGTTGGCATCCGTTGCCCTGCCCTGGCTTTCAGGGGACCAGTGAGGGCTGTGGTTGGTTCGGTGATGTCCCACGGTGTTGGTTAGCGCTTCTCTGGTCACATTGTGGTTGTTGAAGTTGAGCTGGTCTTTGCTTTCACCTACTCAGGCTGGCTTCGTGCTGGCGGAGGAGAAGAGGAAGGCTTTGCTGTTACCTTTTCGTTGGATGAGGGGGTCTAAGCTGCGTCTCTCGTTGCTGTGCTCTGCCCTGGGTTGTCATGCATTGGCCTGACCATGGCTGGGTGGTCTCCCTGCCGGGGGAAGTGTCTCCTTTGGGGTCTGGGAGAGCTGGGAGCACTGCAGGGGCTGCAGAACATCCAGCATGGTCAGAGAGGTGCCGGCCAAGAGGTGGGGTACGTTGCAGCTGATGCCTTGCTCCCAGGGCCAGCGCTGTGGATGCGTGTGGATGTGGGTCAGGTCATGGAGGAGGTGGTGAGCAGGGCTGTTCGTAGGCAAAAAGGAAAAGGACACTGAGTGTGCTGCAGGAGCCCTTTCTCATTTGCACCTTGTTCTGGGTGATAGCAGGGTGCTGGGCACAGTGAGCCACATCTGGCTCTGCAAGAAGTCTTGGTGCTTCATCTGGACCAAATCAGCAACGTACTTGGGCAACGTTGAGGCTGTCCCTGCAGAGATCGGAGGATTCAGCCATGTGCTCAGGGGCTTTGCTGACCGGGGACATGCAGGAGCATTAGCCTGACAGGGAGGGGACAGGGGAGCATCTGCTGTTCTCCTGAGTGGTCTTTGAGGTGACGGGTTAGGTGACCGGTGTCCCTTCCTGCTGAGCGGTGCCCCCCTGTGCCTGACGTCTCTGGAAAGCTGGCTGCTCTTGTGGATGTTAGCATGTTGGAGCAACAAATTGCTTTTTGTCTTCATGTTGGCTGGGATCCTGTGGACCCCCAGCACCGCAATAAGTACCAGTGAGCTCACCCTCGTGTCCATCTGCTTTGAGCAAAAGCAGGATGCTATGGCAGAGCTGCCTCGCCATATCGACCTTCTCAGATGGGTACCAAAGGCTCCTCTGCTTTCCTTCCTCTGTGACCTTGGGGCTTATTGAGATGGTGCAAAGCCTTCTCAAACACGCACCCATGAGGGATGCGGGCACGCAGGTCTTGGGGCCATTGGCTTTCTGAAGGGACCATGACCCAGACTGGAAGACGATTGCTTTAGAGAAGCATTCAGTGATACCCTTGGAGGTGTTGGAGGGCCTCAGTAGAGTGGTCCGTGCTGTCTTCTCGTCTGCTGCCTCCCAGACCCCATCCCCTCAGGCTCCCTTGTGCTTCTTTCCCCTCACACTCAGCCTTGAGATGGGATGGGAGCGCTGCACCCCAAGGAGGGCTCACCTTGCCTGTATGGTCTCCTGTGATGGAGCCCATCAGCCTACCTGTCTGGTAGACTTCTCCCCACAAGTAAACACCCACACCATGTGTTCCCTTGTACCGCTCACCTGGAGGTGGCTTTCCCTGTCCTGGGTCACCCTCTCACAGTGAGGACCTGTCCCACTTGGACATCCCTGGGAGATGAGAGCACCTTGTTGAGGCTAGAAGCCCAGCGGAAAGCCCAGTGACTGATCCCAGCCTTGTCTGATCCCCTTCGAGAGCCTGCTCGTAGAGCCACCTGGAGACGTTGAGATGTGACCATGCACACAGCACTTTGGAGAACCAGATCCCTGCTGCTCCCTCCCCTCTCCAAGGCCTGGGCAGTTCCCAGGAGTCCTACGTGGCCTCCGAGCCCTTTTGTCTACACCCTTACTCGGCCCCGATGTGTCTCTTGATTTCTGGTTTTCGTTAACGTACTAAGAGCTCAAACGAGTCGCTCCCGCAGTGTCTTGTCCCGCATCCATCCCAGTAGGCCCTGCTGGCACCCATTGGGTTAGACGGGGCGGGAGGCGGGGGATTTGGGTCCGTTGTTTTCAAGCTTTTTATGTTTTATTTTAAAATTTTAATTTTTTTTTTTTTTTAACTCTTGCACCTTAATCTCTCACAACCCTTCTTCGACAGACCGCGAGGGTGGAGAGGGGCTTAATTTCCATTAAGCAGTTCATGAATATGCCGCAACGCAATGTTCAACTGACAACTCTGCCCACACGCCGAACCCCAGACCTGTCTGGGTTTGAATTTCTTTCCCGCCCCCCCCCTTCATTTGAACGCTGGGGAGGGAGGGAGTCATGTGGGGAGGGTCGGTTTTGGTTTATATATCCCAGGAGCCTGGTAGCACAGACCAGTTAGCCTCATAATGTCCATGAGGCACAGCTGGCCCTTCGGACCACAGCCATAACCCCAGCGCGGTGGGAAGGTGATGATGGATGGACGGCCGGCAGGTGGGAACGGCTGTGACAGTGCAATAGAGACGAGCATCCGCTGCTAGACAACTCCACTGATTAAACTCTTGGTTTGCCTGAAGTTGAGAGGGAAGGACGGACGGACGGACAGACGCCCTTTGTTCACACGGACAGAGAGAGCTTCCCCACGCGCCGCCCTGCCTGGTGACACGTAACCACGACGGGAGTTGGGTTGAACTTGCAAAGGAAGAAAATAATAATTAAAAAAAGGGAAAAAAAAAAGGATTAAGAACAACCTCAGTAGCATGGAACTTGAAGAAAATGAATGAAACCCCAAGCACTTGCCTCAAAATTAGTTTCTCATGCCTGGTGTTTGGCTCTGTATTATTTTATGGCATTCAGTATCGGTTGCCCAAACATGCCAACTTAAGAGTGTATCGGTGGCTCTACTAGTGTGAACAAACTAAACAAAGCACTTTATTCTGTATAGATAAGGGAGGGCGGGGAGGGGAAGCTTTGATGCTTTTCAGAAGCATCTTAAGTAATGTTCTAGCAAATGTATTATTATTATTACTTTTTTTTTATGACCATGTGTAATCAATATATGTTTATCTTTAACTCCAAGTACAGCAGTTACTCTCTTTGGGATGGTGTGATGAGGGGGAGGCTGAGATGGTCGGGTTAGTCCATCAGCATAGGGCTAACTGGGGCGAGTCATTGCCTACCGCAAGAATGGGCAAGTCTTGCTTCGTTGATGGCCCCGTTGGCCAATGTCTGGGAGGTCCCAAGGGGTGCATCACAGCCAGCCTTGGCACCACGGACCCGACGTGCATTCCCATCCCGAGCCATCTTCTGCCTGGGGGTGCTGGGGCTGCTCTCTGGGCCACCCATGAGCAAGATGAGTCATGGGAGGCTGTTTTGGGTTGTCCCTAGAGGCCAGGTCCTTGGCCATGCTTTGAAACCTGCTTTTGGCCTCTCACCAAGGCACGTCAGGGGTCACTGAGCTCTGAAAGTGGTGAGAGGCCAGAATTGGGCCTTTCCACTGCGTTCTCCCAGTCTGGAAGTGTTATGACTGTTACCAAAGAGGTTGCAAGTGGAAGGACTGAATCAATAAACAATTTGTCTTTTATAAAAGAAAACCCAAAGCTCCACCACTTTCTTTGTTACCTTAATTTTGCTTTGCTTTTTTTTTTTTTTTTTTTTTTTTTTTTTTAAAAGGCTTTTTTCAGGCAATTGGGTGAGGAGTCACAGCCTGGCAGGATGGGCTTCCTACGGCATATTGACCGCTGCCGTCGCTTCACGTGTATAGACTTCGCATTGGGTTTGGTGGGAGGTGTGTTCGTGTGTGTGAGACAGCTAGACACTTGCGGGGCCAACCTAAAAATAGCTTTTCAGGGAAGGGTGATCAGTGGATAGAGGAAGGGGCTCAGTGCTTACAGCCCTGGGGGTGTTAAGGGGGGTGAGGGATAAGGTCCTGGGGCCTCCTGGTTCCATGAAGCTTGAGTGAGCTACGAGCTGGGGCTCTCTCATCTCCTCTATAGGCAGTGGAGAAACCAAGGAGCCCATTCAAAAGCACCCAGTGCCTTTATTGATTTAAAATGGAGCCGTGGCAACCTCACCAGCTAACATCAGCACTGATATTGGGAAGCTAATAGAAGAAGAGATGATTTTCCCCCTCCCTTGGGATGTACCTACTCCTTTGCCACTGGCATTGCGTGGAGAAGATACCCGCAGGGGGACCTGTGCCACTGCAGCTGTGCATCTGAGCCAGGAAAACGCCGGGCAGCAGCAAGGAGTGATGCTTCTCTGAGTATTCACGCTGGTATTTCTTAGCTGTGATTGCCTTTGGACTGAAGCAGCCTCTTGGTGAGGTGGTGGACATCTCTGGGCCAGACTTTCGTTTAGCGATGTGCAACTCTGCTGCATTCCTTGGGCCAACACTGGCTTGCACACACTGAGATTTGGCCCCCATTGCTCAAGCAGTGGGATATTTCAAGCTCTTCTGGGTCCTTTCATACAACAGCTATTTTTCCTTTTATGGTTTCTTGCCCTGGGCCAGCGGTGGCGTCTCCCACAGCTTTACAATGGATGTGAACCACACAGGAGCACTAAGCTCCTATTAACTGTATTCCTGGTGGACGGTTGCAAGGTGAGTGACCGAGGATGGGGTCCAGTTTTAAATCGCTATCAAGGGACCACACCGTAGCAACGTGACAGCGGATGGATGGGGATTAACCTTCTCTTAGGACTTCTTAGGATGAAGTGTCGACAGCTTTCCATTCTGTGTCCAGCAATAAGAGCTGAAGCAAAGGCCTTGGTGTCCTATCCCAGGCAGGAGGTGGTATCCTGCCACCTCAATAAATGACTTTCAAAAAATCAGTATTCTATGCATGGATTATTTTCTTTCTTCTTCATTTTTCTTTTCTGACACAAGCTGTTCTACGTTTGGTAGATTCATCTTCAATTAGCTTGGGAGTCATCCACAGGAATTTCTGCAGAACTGGGTAGAGGGTGATTTTTTTTTTTTCTTTTCAGTGCATTTTTCACACATTTGATTGTTTCCAAGGTTTTTTTTGCCTTTTTTTTTTTTTTTTAAGCTATTTTGTGACAGCCACTCACCTTGGATTTATTTTTCTTGTGAAAATATTTCATTACTGTTCTGGTGTGATTGTCCTCTAAGGAGATTATGCTGTAACTTTTTAAATCCTTAAAATGAAACCAGGACAAGACTCTGGTTCCTTTAGTCATGCCAAATTGTCTTTCTTTCCAAACATACTTTAGTTTCTCCATGACTGCATTTTGAGCTAGACAAATCAGCCAGATATGATTTTTGACACCATAATTTTCATGCTACTTTGAAGGTATTTATTTTGCAAGGTTTGTATTTGTTATTTTTTATTATTATTACCTGTGTTCATGGTATCATGAGATCATGTAGGCATCCAGCTTCCTTCTAGCCCTAGGTAAGCTTCTAGTCCTCATATCTGTGGAGAATATCTGTGAGGATATGAACACTAAAGTTTCAGCTCCCAGATGGTGGAAAATAAGAAGAAAAGCTGGGGCTCTGCTAGGGCTCTCCATGGGGCTGGTTTTCTCTGTGTGTTCATTGCAGCTTTTGCTTGGTCCTTGTGTTTGGTTGCTGTGGACATTCAGTTACAGCTCTCTCAACATGCAAACACAGGGGATATTTTTTTTTTAAAATAGCATAATAATTTATTTTTAAATAAACCACTGGTCAGATGGTGTGGGCATCAGATTTTTGCTCTAGCAGATCTTTGTCCTGCTGCCAGTACAGTCGTGTTTCTATCAAAACATCATTATGGACAACTTTAAAAAAAAATATGCATTTTTTTCTCAGTAGGAATCTTTCTTAGAGCCAAATACGTCTGAGATCTCCATGTACTTAGCAAACTAGAATACTCTTTAAAAAAAAAAAAAAAGGTCAGAACATTAAAAATAAGAGGAACAGCATAAATATAAAACCTTTCCCTGAAAAACAGCACTTATCCAACCATAGGTGAGGACATTGTGATCTGTGATTGAAGATGAGGAGCCCAAAAGGCTGGAGATGAGTGCACATGGCTTTCCCTGGCCGCCTCTCCCCCCTTTCCTACCCTGCTACTTGCACAACTCTTCCCTCCCGCAGACCTTAGCTCCTGGCCTCTCTTCAGTCCAAAGTCGCAGTGGAGGCAAAGAACTAAGACTATTTTCTTTTCATCATGACTTCCAAAGCATTTCTGCTGCCCATGCTCACACTTTCTTTTCTTTTAACTGTCTCATCCCAAGAACTCTCCTCACTTGGGAGCTCAGCAAAGTCCCTCCAGGTCCCTCCTGTACCACTTGACTTTGACCCTTCCTTTCCCTCTCCAAGGTGGGCTCTAGTACCACGGTCATAGCTGCCTTAGGTGGGGAAATACTTTATAGACCTTCTTTTGTGGGGAATGTCAGCTTCATCTCTTGGGACCCACTTTCTGCCTCAACCGTTGGTTGGGGAGGTTCAACAGCAGTTGAGAAGATGGGGAAAACATAGAGAAAGAAGGGGAACAAGTGTATGATCTTTTTGTCCTCTCTGCTGAGACTGGTAGAAGTCGTCGCTCCATGCTTCTCAGCCTACCCCAGCTCCTTGCAGGCTCTAGACCCCTTCTCTAGTTATCTTGTGAGCATCTTCAAGTTCCCATAGGGCTTCAAGATAATTTCTCCCCTTTCCCATTTGACTAACTAAAAAGGTACCAATCACAGATGCAACGTCCTACACCGTATCCAGATGCTATATCTCTGTGCTGATAAGCATGGCGTCACCTCCCCCCATCCCTCCTTGCCCTAGACCCCCATGGAAAGAAAAAAAAAAAATCACGCCTTGCTACATCTTCGTTAGGCGCAAAACATTGAGGCGCACGGGAAGGAAAGTGGCACCGGAGGCATACTGGATCTCCCGGAGGACCCCTTCCCACTTCTTCTGCTCTTCATCATACCTGGGGACAGACAGACAGACAGTTATGGTGAGGAAAGTGTCTCCTCTCTCTCGCTTCAGCTGCTCTCCATAGTGGTGGGAGCCCTGGTGAATGGTGTGATGTCCCACAGACATTATTTGGCCACAAGACATCTGTGGGAGCTGGATGGGGATGGTCAGCCCTGGTGTGCTCTGGTTTGCAGTGCTGGGCTAGGGGACGTGGATATCAGCACATGGTCTCGCAGGGAAGGGTGTATTTTTCCATTGGGAAACAGGTTGATGGCACCAAGACTAAACATCCATGGTGAAGGCCAGCAGGTGCCTGCTGAGGGTGCTCTAGAGCCACAGATGTGAAGGACAGGAGCAGCTAACGTGATGTTAGCAGCCATCAGAAAGTGCTTTCTGCCCGCTTGTCTGCTCGCACGTAAGACTATCTGATTTCCAGACCGAGCGCCGGCTTTTCCCAGGGAGAGGATGCATTGCACAAATGCTGCTTCACGCCAAAGGGGAGGTCTGGAACTCGCTTCAGGCAAAATGTCAACACAGCAACAAAGCTGAAGGAGCAGATTTTCTCTGGTACGTTGCTATATGAGGCTAGGAGGTATCACTGAATCACCTAATGTGCCCTCCAGCACAGCACAGGGCAAACTTCTCACCCAGAGAGCCTGCACTAAGCCTGTAGTCTTCTGCTGGGGTAACAGCATCCATCTCACACTGAAGGCACCAACACAGACAGAAACTATCTGTTCCGTCAGTCGCTCTCCCTAACATCCCTCCCGTGCTCCCTTGGACAGCCCCGGGGAAGATCATCACCTCCAAACGTCGTTCAGCTCTGTTGGCACCAGTTCTCCTGACTCCGTCTCCACCGTGGCGAATCCTCCAAGCAGGTAGAGCACCCCGGCCAAGCTCACCAGGCTGACTGAGCTGCGCTCCTGGGGGAACTCAGTGAAGGTGTCCCACCTGCCATGTCGAGAGAGGGGACATGTTAAGGCACCCTGCCCACCCCCATGCCAAGCATGGCCTTGAATCAGGAATCAACAACTGAATTAACTAAACTTGTGTAGGTCTACATGGGATGGGATCATACACTGACTGTTGTTAGAGATACCTGTTTCCATCATCATACTTCAACTTCATTTTATATTGAGTAGATGACCTGTGAAGCACACCTGGCATGGACCAGCAGATCCCAGTTGTGGGACTGCAGCTTCAAGGCCTGCCCAAAGTCTGTGGCGTTGGGTGAAGCTGCCAAGATGAAGCTACAGCCCTGCAGGGAACCCAAGGGCTGTACCAGTTGGTGAAACTGCTTTGAAGATGAGCCTGAGATGATCCACAGCCCAACTGCAGTGGCATTGGTGATGCCCAGCTGTCTGAGGAATACAGACTGGGAGGAACTGGTATCGGGAGTTGCAAGCAAACTCCAGAATGGTTGGAAGTTGCTTAATGTACACCTGCAGCCACTCCTTGTGTAACTACACCCTAAAGGTGTGCTCAGGTACGTACTTGTTGGTGGCAATGTCGTAGACTTCCACTGAGTTGGTCAAACCGGAGTCGGTCACGCCAGCTGCCACGTAGATTTTGTCCTTGTGCACAGTGGCTCCGAACAAGGAGCGGGCAGTTTTCATGGGAGCCAGCTCTTTCCACTCAAACTTGGCTGGATTGTAGACACACATCGTCTTCAGGCACTTCCTAGAGAAAGATGAGAGAGAAAAGGAGACTCAATCGCCTGCCAAGGGGCAGCTTTGCACTGCGGGAGTTTGGGGATGTCTGCTGGCAAGAACATGGGGTCTCTAGAAAGGATTTTTGCTCCTCCACATCAGCATGAGTGCCTTTGCTTGGGTGCGCACCTGAGAATGCCCATGCCTGGAGACATCATTTGCGTGGATAACGTATCCCCTCTTGCTCTGCTCACGTTGGATAGGAGTCCTAAAGGCTCAGCATTGTGCTTACACAGCTGGATATGGGTCCATGGAGCTAACTGCCTCTCAGGACCTCGCACACAGCCATCAGACAGTGGTTCAGTGCTCCTGATCCAACCTGATGCTGCGAAATATCATCAGTAACGCCCCTGTTCCCCAGGACGGCAATGTAAGGTGTGTGAATGTATGCGCGCTCACACTTTTCCGACCATAATCCTTTCAGAGCAGGACCTATCTTTGCTGGATTATGGCATGTTTGCTCTGCAAACAGTCATACTTCTGCCTTGCAAAGCAATCGCTGCAATGCTCCCCAAGAGAGGCTTTTTCTGCTGAGCCTGTCTCCTGCAGGAGGGCAGGATGGGGGTGAGGTTTGATGAGGTTTTTCACTCCTATTGCAAACACCCATCTGGATTTGATTACCAGACCACGCTTCTCTGCCATCCCACTAGTTTGGGGGATGAATCCCTTGTTTTTTTACTTACTTGTCGCTTCCTTTGCCACCAATGATGTAGATGAGATCCTTGTGCGATACCACCGCGTGGCCATAGACTGCGTAGGGAAGGGAATCGGCTTCACCCCACTTGAAGGACCTGGATCAGAGAAAGATGGGAAGCAAAAGGATCTGTAGCTTGCTAGGTGAGCCCTAGAGTAGGTGGCACTCTCCAGACCTAGAGGTGAGCACAGATCCTGACCCGATCTCAAAAATATGAGGTTTTCAATGAGATAATGCTCATCAATAAATTTTGTGATCCTAAAAAATGTGGAAATATAAAATACGCAGAATGTTTATGCTAATATTCATTGTTTTCTGCAGTATCCCCTACTCTTGGGCTTTGTGGATACACATCCTGACTTCTCCCAGGACCTCACCTCATTTAAAAGCATTACCAGCCGATCACAAAGAAGACAGAGATTTCTGCATGATGGAAAAAAATTAAAACCAATGAGACTTAGGGGTGCAAAATCCTGAGGAAAAAAATTATTTATTGGCCATCGCCTTCCACTTTGAGGTGCTTTGGTTGGCCAACACTCAGCAAGGACCCACAGGGGCAGGTATGTCCACATTTTGCAGTGCAGGGCTGTGTTGAAGCCTCTGAGCTAGCTCTGGGGCAGCTGAGCAGAGGATGTAGCTATAACGCTTTGGAAACCCCAAACTGGTATCCAATAGGCCTGATCAATTTCTCAAGAAGTGTCTGTTCATGTCCATGTAGCTTAGACTCATCCCTAGTTTTCATATATATAAGATGTAACCCCCAAGACCTGCACTTTATTTTACCTAAGAACTGAGTTGCCTGGGTTCTGAGTGTTTTCTATTTCTGCAACCACTCTGGGCAAATATTTGATCCCATAGACCAACAGTTTGCCCTCTCCAGGTTTGTTACAGTTGAAATCTTGACTTAAATAATGCTGGAAATACAAGTGGAGCTGATCACATCTCTACCAGCTTCAAATTGGTATTCAAACCACCCCCCTGAGCACTTAGCGAGGGCAGACACATCCTTTCCCGGAGCGTGCAGGGGCAGATAAATGCCCTGTTCTGTAGGAATGAAACTGGTTTCAAATCTCTGCCTATAAAACAGACTTTGAAGCACGCACATCTAAGTACAGACCAAGCAAAGGCTTGTTAATGCCTACTGCTCTGTCTCTTTGGGGCAGAGAACAGCAGTCTTTGGGTGTTTCTGTCTCCTGTGAGCAGAACAGAATGGTGCCTTTTAATAAAGCTCATGACCTTACATGGGTCAGAGCCCATTGTCCAAAGATAATCAGATATTAAGCCTGATATCCATCAGGATGGGCCATTCAGTGCCACATTGGAATATTTTTAAAACAAACATTCCTGTTCAAAGCCATTCCTGGTGAGGCCTCAGTGAATGTCTCTGAACCTCCAACCAATGGGCAAGAGCAGAAGGAAAAACTCTTGCTCCCCTGTACAGGTCTCACATGAGCATCAACTAAGATCAGTCCCCGATAACATAATATCCCCATCACGGCTTCCATCTCTGGGAGGTTCAATTACAATAAATGAAGCAGCTGCAGAGAGACAGCTCAGAGCCCCAGGGTACAGCTTGAGACAGTCCCAGTGGTCCCAGTATCTGGATGCAGACTTTGAGCCCTTTCTCCAAAACCTTTCAGCGCCTAGAGAGCTGGAGTTGTTTTGCAAGGCAGCTGCTTCACCTTCTCCTGTAAACCGCCTCCTGCCCCACACTCGCACGCGAACACTTACAGCCGGTCGTAGCACAGGACTGAATCCAGGGTCTTCTCTCCCTCTTTCAGTTCTTTCCCTCCAACCACAAAAATAGAGTTTTCTGCCTCTCCCAGGCCAAAGAGGCAGCGAGGGGAGGGCAGGGGGGGCATCCCCAGCCATTCTGCGTCCAGATGGTCATACTGAAAGGAAACATATGGCCATTAGTGTGTGTTCACCCGGCCCATTTGCTTTGCAAAAATCGGGGTCCAGAGGCTGAGGGCAAAGTCCATTCCCACATGCAGCTTGGTCACCCCAGTAGGCACTTTCTGCAAGGCCAGTTTCTGCCTATGCCTTACCATCTGTTGCAGGATGGGACATGTTAGTGCAAATCCAAGTCATACATCATATGACATATGCTTTATGACAAGGCATAAGAGCAGAGATGTGACAACGTGAACATGTTCTGCTCTGTGCACCAAAGCTGTGGCTTGGAACGTGTTGGGCCGTCTTCAAATGAGAGAGTCCCATGTTGGACCTCTAATGGATAGTTCCTGGGACTGGAGGAGATGAAACACTTCAATCTTAGAAATTTTGCCTGAACCTCTTCAGATGCAGCACACACCACAATATTTCATCCTGATATTTTCCAGCTTGGCCAGGTAACAGTGTGGTGTCGGCTATGTTGGCTACACAGCTCGCTCCCCTGAGTCCCTTCTTTTCCCATCAATTCTTCTTTCTGGCAAATAATCAGTTATCGTGTTCCTCCTCTGCTTCTTAAGATACCGAAGTCCTGTATCACCTCAGTGTGTGTGAGAGTTCGTGAGATGAAATGTATGTGTGTCCATCTGCACAAAGGCTATTTACACAATACCTATCTACCCAATATGGTACAACACAACTGAGACGGTACTGCGAAGACCAGAGCTCTTCTCGCTGACCAAAGTGTGCCAGGCCCATCTGATAGATGGGGAAACTGATGCGTACAGTGTTACTAGATCAGATGGCCAAATTCTTGCAGATCCTTGGACACCCGTAGATCAAGGCGCCGTGTCATCTCCCACCAGAAAAAAGATCTGAAAGATTATGAGGCTGGGGGCTCTCTGGGTACCATGGCTTGATGGGAAATGTAATCTGGGGCAAAAATTTTTAATGTAGCTTGGCAGCAGAGGAGGGAGCAACATCTTGCAGCCAGTTTGGTGGGACTCTGCAAGATGAAGCTGTGATGCAGCATTGCCTGAAGCACTGTTTGCTATGGGCTTGGGCCAAAGAGCTTCAGCTTGCTGGGCTGCCTCCCAAGACTCGGCCTCAGCTGGGTGCCTGTGGTTATTGTCTCTTTGTAAGCTGTGGTCCACATATGTGTTATTTATAGCGCAAGCCCGAGCAGCTCAGTCACCAGGATAGTTCCTGCTTCTTGATGGATTCGGCATTGTTTTCAAGTCATAAATCTTAGAATCGACAAATAAAGGATACCCTTTTCCATCTGAAATGTCAATGGAATAATTTTGTTCCTGACAAAATTTGCAAGGCCTCTGGGATTTATCAGCATTTTTATGTTTTTGTTCCTGTCCTTAAGTCTAAACTATCCCTGACCTAACTCTCCTGGCTTCAGCAGGAGGAATGTGAAATCAGGGAGGCCAAAAACAGAGTCAGAAGGTGTAAGATGCTGCTGCACTGACACAGGGATTTAAGGGTCCATCATACAGCTGCCTGTCAACATCTGTGTGAAGTTTCAGCTGAAAAAAAGGCTCAAAAGACTCTCTTACCCATACAGAAACCATGAGCTATGTGATGGCACTGACGGCAATAAATTACACCTTTGCAAACTGACGGCACCTTCCAGCCCTAGGACTTGTCTGCACCTCCCATGCACAAGTGCCACAGTGAGCTCTGAAGGGACCACTGTCCCCTTCTTGTGGGGAAGGAGCTAAAAATGGCCAAACGAAGCCCAAGGCATTTGCTATTAAGTCAGTGGCAAATTGGGAGCTGAATATAGAAATCTTGCTCTTTGCAGCTTAGAATCACAGAATAATTTAGCTTGAAGGGACCTCCAAAGGTCTTTTATCTAGCCCCCATGCTCAAGCAGATGCAGCTTTGGAGTTAGAGCAGGTTGCCAGGGCTTTGTGCAGTCAAATATTAAATGTCTCCAAGGATGGATGTGTTGCAACCTCTCTGGACCCCTGCTCCAGTACTCTGTCACCTCTGTTGGGAAGGTTTTCCTCACAGCTAACCGAAATTTCCTTTACTGCAACTCCTGGCCATTGCTTCTTGGCCCATCTTTGTGCAAAACCAAGAAGAGTCTAGATGCCCTTTCTGTGTCCCCTCCTATTAGGGAGCTGCAGACACCAGTGAGATCTTCCCTTCTCCTTCTCCAGGTTGATCAGACCCAGCTCAGCCTCTCCTTGTACCTCCCGTTCTCCAGCCCTGACCATCTTGGTGGCTTCTGCTAGACTCATTCCAGTACCTCAATGTCTCCCTTGTACTGGGGAGCCCCAGACTGGACACAGCATCCAGACGTGGTCTCACAAGTGTACAATCAAAGGGGAAAAAAAAAAAAAAAAAAAAAATCACTGCCCTTGACCTGCTTGCTGCAGTCATGCTGAAACAGCTCAGGACACAGTGGACCTTCACTGCCGCTCAAGGAATTACCTTGCCTGGCCAGCAACAAGACTGGCGGAGCATTGATCTTTAGACGTAGGTTTCGGCGCCTTGCGTTAGCTGTCTACAAGGGAAGGTGCTCTTGGGTTACAGCCCAGGCTGGGGCTCAGATTGCCTGCACGGAGCTCAATTTTATCACAGGTTTGGTTACTGCTGAGTTAGAACAGCCACTTTTCCTGTGGAGTATCCCAAAAGACATCACACTGTGGTTTCCCCTGCACGTGATGGAAATGGCCAAGGGGGAGACTCCGAGCTGGAACTAGCATACCTCCAGGGGCAAGAACAGCACTAGAAATGGGGCACATATTGGGAGGTAGGAACATGCCCTGTGTCCTTGGGGTGTTTGCTCTGTGGCTGTAGCTGCTGCTGGTCCTTTGTTGGCACCTGGCAGAGTCACCCTTGGGTTTTGCTGGGGGTTCATAACCAGGGAATATAAAGGATGCAAAGCAGAACCCAGGCCTGATGTCACTAACCTTCTAGTTACTGTGCCCTGTGGCAGCCAGGGCTGGGCCAAATGCACTGTTCAGAGTGATCCCCTATTCAGGATTTGGATCAGGAAGGCTTATTCCTATTACCTGCTCCATCAAGCCTCCTTCCTCAATTATCAGAACCTCCCCTTCAGTCGGATCTGCCTTAAAAATGTAGGGAGAAGAATCTCTAGTAAAGCAACTCAGATATTTTACCTTCGTTTACAACTTTCATTTTAACTTCACATGACAATGAATATTACTGGCATCACATGGAAGCTAAAGACTGGTGATGCTCCAAAGTGGTCAAAGAAACAAAAGAAAGATACAGCTAGTACCTGTAGGAAGTAGGAACTCATGGGATCCTCTTTGTTGTCCTCGTTGTAGTATAGTCCTCCAACAATGAAGATCTGATTCTCTTTGGTCACCAGACTGATGTGGTTCTTTGGGATTTGAGAAGACAGGGAGGCAAAATAGCACTCATTGGCAGTGGGATCGTAGGCCACTGCTCCACTGTCGCTCACCATGAAAATAAGGTCCTGGAGGAACATCCCAAAGCGCATTGTGTCATTTAAGATCCCTGGGAGAGCTTCCTCCTCTGTATCTTCCTTCTCATCTACTGCTCCATTGACGACATTGTCTTTCACTTGCTTTTCACTGCTTTTCTTCACTTTCTTCTTCTTCACCACAGTGAATTTGCCTTTCTGGGCATCCTTCACCATCTGCAGTTTCTTGAGCAGCTCTGGGCTGGACTTCACCATGGCGTGCTTCTCCACGTGGTCCTTGATGTAGTCGTTGGGCATGAGGCGGAAGCGGATGCTCTCAAAGATGACAGGCAAGGCCTTCTGCCGGGTCTCATGGTCCTTGGTCCCCACCCACTTCATCACTACTTCGAAGACGGTCTCCTCTTTCTCTATGTTGAGGGAGTCACTGGAGATGATCGCGATAAGCTCATCAGGGGAGAGCTGGTAGAACTCCTCATCCCGGGAGACCAGCGCAAAGCGATCGCAAATGAAATCCCGAGCTGCCACGGCCAGCCGGGCACAGTCCAGCATCAAGCCCAACCTGAAGATAGCCAAGCAGTTGCTGAGGCAGAGCCGCTTCTGCAAGAAGGACACGCAGACGGTAAAGATGGAGGGGATCTGGAACATGTTGGCCACGGAGAAGATGTCCTGCACATTCTGCTCTGTGATCTCCAGCTCGGAGGTGTAGATATAATGGAGGATCTTGCCCATGACATCTGGATCAACGTCTTCCAAACTGACCTCCCTCTTCTTGCTCTCTTCCATGTCCGAGAGGAACATCGCTCGAAAATACGGGCTGCAAGCTGCCAGCACCAACCGATGGCAGGGAAACTCCTTCCCTTTGACTTTCAAGACACAGTCCAGAAACTTATTGTGGTCCAACATGTCTTTGAGTCCATCCTGCAGGAGAGTTTGCTGGTAGAGACGCAATTCTTCCACTTGATCAAAAGGCAAACCCATGGTGAAGAGTAACTGCTCCTTTTTTCCCCAGTCCTTCTTTTATATATGTGTATATTTATAAATATATCTGTACCTGAGCCCCGGTAAAGAAATTTACTCAAAGCAGGGCTCCCGGGTCTCCTTTGCTTCCAGACTGCCAGCACACTGGGAATGTGAAACGCTTGCTACTATCGCAGCTGTCTGCGTACTTCAGTTTCCAGCGTAGGGCTTTATATATAGCCACAGCGTTACAAAGCTTAAGGAATCCATACTGGAGCATGTGTAAGCCGATCACCCTTTAATATGACACATGGGACAAGGAGGAAGGGAGGGGGCTGGGGGAACAGCTGTAATTCCAGCCTCGATGCTTCAGGAAGGGTCTGTCAGCCCGTGAGTCACGGCGGGGGGAGCAGGAGTTTTTGCTGCCGTCCCATGACGGGAGACGCGTGTGACCCATCGGCTCAGCTGCTGAGCTTGGGAAACGGCTTCCAGATGAATCAAACATCCCAATCTGCCTTCTGGGTCATGAATGGCAAGGCTGAGACCTTCTCCCTACACCGCTAAACGGACTGCTCCGAAACTGCTAAACCTTTTGCTGTGCTAAAAATAGACCGTGAAGTCAAAGCTGGAAAGATGCAATAAGGGAGCGTCTTATGTGGGCTTTGTGGCGTCCCCGACTCCAGACAGCTCACTCCCAGGGCTGCTTTTCTGCAGAGGTTTGTCCTTTATTTTCCTCTGGAGTCACTTTTCAGGGGTCTGGAAGGGGGTGGGAAATGAAGATAGAGCGATTTATTTACACCCCCATATGGGATATGAGACCTATGCTGGAAGTTACTTAAAAGTCTCACTAAAGGAGGAGACTCAAGGAGCCTGGGAGAGGGATGGCTCTGCTTTTGCCTGCAATACATGCATGGCCCTACTGGCACAGTCTCTGGACACCTCGTCATTAATAAATCCATCTTTTCCACGTCTTGGTGACAGAGGGAGGGTCTGAGGCAGAACAGAAATAAAGAGAGTGCAACGGTGGGCTTCAACTCACAGGTTAGGACATCTCAACACAGGTATCTTCCTGTAAATTGAGGGTGTCCTGCTAAGGTCTACTGAGATTCAGCACTCCTGTGTTGAAGTCTAGAGCCACAGCAGGACAACCTGCCTGGTTTTGAGCTGATGCTCCAGAAAGGCTGAGGTCTCCAGCAGGTCTTGTGTCCTGCTTGCATGCCCATGGATGTCTAGGAAGCCCCACGGGTCCTCAAATGGCTGGTCCAGGTCCAGCTATTCCCATGGAGCTCACAAAGAAAAAAATTAGTTTTGGCAGACATGGGTGAGCAGAGTAGCTATAATTATTTATACCTACAGTAAAACTTATACATGAATCTGTTTTATCTCCATTACTATGGACCCTCTGGGCTGGCTGACACTCAGTGATGGCACAGATTTAATTAATGATTTAATTAAGTCTATGCAAAGATATTAGGCACTCTGCTTGGTGTATTTAAAGCCAGATAACCCCTTACCCTGGCATGGATGTATTTATAAAAGTGATTTGTGCCATGATGATTATCTACGTATGTGGGAAAAAGGAGGGAGCTATACTGGTATGAAGCCCTTTTGTACTGGTGAGGTTCCAGAAGCATCTGGGAGGTAACAAAATAGCAGGGAAATAATCACAAGCTTTTTTTGGAGCTCACATCATAAGCTCTTCTGCTGTGCTGCTCGTCTGTGACAGGATCAGACGACGAGCGCTGATCTTTGAAGTGGGTCAAACTTCAGAAACGTTTCTCTGCTCCCAGACATCTGGGGCTGGACAACCCCATCCTCCCCTCTCCCCTCCCTCTGCATTAGCTCTGCACTTTCCCAAGTTTAATCCTGTGTTATCATGCTACCAGCTGGGATTTCCCCCCCCCTCTGCCTTTAATCTCCCTTGAGCCCTGACTTGTTTTGCTTTTCGCTGTGCTGCTCGGCGTGCGCTGCCATCCGAGGTTTGCTTCCATATTCCCCGTGCCACGAGGTGCCGCTGCTAAAATGCAGCTACGGCCCATCCCTTCCCAGAGGAGCTTCCAACCGATCAGTGGGTCTGTGGCTTCTCCCAGGTTTGTGGTCCACCCAAGGAAAGAGCACCCTGCCAGTCCCAAACCTCCTCTGGGGTCTCCGTTGGCTTCAGTGGCTTCGCACAGCGGCTGGACCGGCTCCAAGGCTTGGCGAAGCAGCCCTGGTTTTTCAAGCGCACCATCTCCTCGGTGCACGGTGTCATTTAGGCTCCCTACAAGCATGGGGAGAGACAGGTATCTCTGGGAGCTGGTTCACTGCACCCGAGTTAGACTCTTGCCTGAGATGAGAGGATGGTGGTGTCCGTCTGTCCCCATTCATTCTACAGGCAGTTTAAATCATGCATTCAGACTAGACACCCTTAACTGTTCCCAGTGCCTCCTAACACCAGCAGTGCTGGAACGCCATCCTCATAACGGCTTGGGGCAATAATCACACGTGTGATCCCCTGCCTTACGTTTCCACCATTTTTTGCTCTCAGCTCGATACAGCAGCATTCATCCCAAGCCCTGTCAGCAAAATGGGTGTAGATTGCATATATTGCCCAGGCTGGACATGCATTCTGTGCTCTATATATTCACCCTGACCTCAAATGGTCTGTAAACCTCCCTGGCTCCTGAGCACAGATGCATTCAGCTCAGATAAGGGTAGTTCATCCCTAAACAAGTTTCTACCACAGCCTGGTGGGACAGAGGGTTGTTCTGGTGGACCCAAACCCTCTGAGCAGCTCAAACAGTGCTAATGGGGATGCTCTCAGAGCCACCATGCACTTCTCTGCAACCCTCCCGGGGCTGGGAGTAAAAAGCCAGCAGTGTTTTATGCAGCTCAGTTCCACAAGCTTCAGATCCACCCTCCCAATGAGTATTTGGTGTCCAGATTATTTTCATTCTTACACTTTAGGTTACACTTTTCCAGTCTGGATCTCAAGCACAGTATTTCTTTCTCACTTGTGTGTTTATTCTTTCCTCATTTCTGGCTTTCATTCAGTCACACTAGTTGGTCGTTACCGTTTTATAATCTATTTACGCACAGGGAAGTCAACAGGATTTTGGTCTGAGCCTTGCTGCCCTGGAGAGCCAAGGCCACATCTGATTGCTACGGGAGACTTTTCTCTGATGATAGCAGTGGAATTTGAGGCAGCCACCAATTCTGAGCCCTCTGCAACCATTATCTCCTGTAGAGGCTTTGATCACAGTAGACTTGTCCCATCTAGCTTCCATTTGCTGGGTCCAATGTGTCACCACAAAGGTAAGCTGGTCTCCAAGCAAGTACCAGCCAAGCCCAGAGGAATTTAGCATCTAAAAGCAGAGGAGATGGCACACGTGGATGCGACAAGGGTGAGCAGTGATCATAGTTACCACTTGGTTATCTTTACGCACACATTAATGGATGAATCGACTCTCCCCAGGGTATACCCCCGAGAGTGCTGGCTGCTGTATAATAGACAACACCGCCCTGAACGGAGGTGGGCTGTTCTGAGATAGCCCTCAGCTAACTGGCCACAGATCTAACAGGACTACAGCTAGTGATTTCCAATGACCAATGGACTAAGTAAGTAAAAGTCAGTTATTAAGTGTGTCTCTAAGTGGGCAATAGTCCCCCCCTGTGACATGGGAGTGGGTGAGGATACATGCAAAGCATCCTAAGGGGATGCAGTGTAGCAGGATCACTCCCTCCTGTGTGAGATTTTAGAACAAGAAAGGCAAATGCAGGAATTATATCTATGTCAGGCTGAACAAGAAAGTGTCCAGTGTAGGGCTATTAATTAGGATTTGTAGTTGCAATAAAGAATTGCTTTTCTTGGCTTCTCAGGCGAGTTTTACTAACAGGCAGGCAATAACCAGATCAGATGAGATAGATACTCTCCTCCAGGAGAGAGATGAGCAGTCGATAAATCCCATTCTACAGAGGCACATGCTGAGAATAAGGGTCTCCAGCGCAAGGCTGAGCTGGTTGAGATAGCACACTTGGGTTCCTCTGGCCCACCAGTCCTCCTGGGCTTGTAACAGCAGTGATAGCAGAGGGAATAACATGAGGCAAAGAGGGGCAAAGCCCAGGTTCTCCTATGAACTGTGTCTCTAACAAATCACTTGCTCAGCTGGTGTCTAAGATTAGCTCCTTCTGGCAGCTCCAGCAGATGCAGCTGCTGGGTAAATTTAGAACCTTAGTGAATGGGTTATTTTCTCTCCCGGAGTATCCAAGTCAGGAAGGCAGTGCAGAGTCACTGGGCTTTGCCATGTGAGTCACCCACTTTGACACCGGGAGGTGGCCAACTCTGTTTGTCCTCCCGGGCAGCCAGGGACCTGAGCTGAGCCACCCACAGAGACGGAGCCCGTGGTCCAACAGCTCAGGGTGGCTTCAGCTGTGGAGGAGAAAAGCTGGATTTTACCCTGGAAGGAAGCACATCATGTCATAGCTGGTTTGGTGGTAAAGAGTAAATCTGAAATAATGGAGGTGCCAAGAAACATCTACCAAAGGTTCATCAGTAGACCTGTGTTAAAAAGAGATATGCCTGGCAGCTGAAGAAGTTTTTTGTGATGTGACTAGAGATGCCACTGAGGCACAATACCTGCCCTTACTTCCAATATTTTTGGTCAGGCTCCCAGAAATAAAACCAACATGGCTTCTAACTCAAAAACTACAAGTTTGATGGCAGTAGGCTCATGATATTTCAGCAGTACAAAGGCGGAGTCAAAGTAAAGGTGAATATGAATCGAGCTGCAGCCAAGCCTCCAATCTGATGATGCCACTAAGGTGGGTTTCTGTTAAACTCAACCATGTCTTGTGTCACTGTTAGGGGTGGGAGGTGAGGACTTGCAAACAGATGCTTGTGTCTCTCAGCTCTGATGGCAGGGCATTGCCCAGGGTGTCACCTTCATTACAGCAGCATAACAGTGATAAGTGGCAGGCACCATAGATGTCCAACATTTATTTACTACATATATAAATGACATTTATCAGGGACTTCACAAATTACTTTGGCAGAGCTGAAAGCTGGCTAGGAACCAATCCTGTTTCATCCACAAAGAAGCCAGAATACACCAGCACCAAGCATCTCGACTCACGCTGTGAAGTGGTCCAGATTCTGCCCTCACCAGACATCAACATAACTCAGACATAAGGCCACTGAAAGTTACTCTAAAGTGCAAGAGAGCCAGAGCTATTTTTCAGTTATTAACCCACCTTTTCCCCAAGGCACCGTGTTCCACACATGTACATTTATTCAATGCACTCCCTAGGCAGTGTCCCAAAGTCTGCTTCTCCAAGGAGGCTATCATGGGCTTTCCCTCCACCACCCAGCCCCAAGTCACTGCCCTTCATTCAGGGTCTTTCTCCTTTGGTTGTATATATGTGTGTGTACTCATTCAGCCATGCAGTCACGGGCTTAGGCTGTGCGCACCAAAAAGTCAGTTGAATAAAGAGATGGATGGCTGGAGAGGAGAAAGAGTTGGCTACAGCATCTTCTGTTTCTCAGCCATGGGCAGGAATGTGAGCTTAAATCTTTGTCCATGGTGTGTGAAAAACACGAGTGGGATTTGGTTTGAGTCCTAGGACATATATCACAGCAGGACAGTCACGGTGGCCGCATCGGTCTCAGACCCAACAGCGGAGGGCCCTTTGGGTATGAGTTGGGGCCTGGGGACCAAGCAGTTGTGAGCCATTTGTTGTATTTCTTCAGCGTGCCCGCTCCCCAGGCGACCTGTACACGATGCGCAATGGCTGTGAAGCAGGTATGGCTCCCACACTCTCATTAACTATGCCTGATGTTGGCACTAAATCATTTTTTTCCAAGACATATAACACTGAAGGGACCTGTTTTGCAGAGATTGTAACAGCTATCACTCTGCACCGCTGACAGTGGTAGGGAGATAATTACCCTTCAATTTGCCATTCCTGGTCCTCCTTCCCTTTGCTATAAAGACTGTACTATTTATTTATTAGCCTCTTGGTAGGTATAGATCGTGCTGAGCCATTTCACAGTCCTTACTGCACAACCATAAATGCTGAACACTTGACAGTGGATGCTGACCGTCTCTTCTAGTGAAAGAAACATGGGATGCTTGGGCTGGAAGCAACCTGGAGATGATCTGCTCAGAGCAGGCTCAGCACCAGCTAATCCCTTTCTCACAGCTGTGTGTCTGATCCACCCTAAAACCTCCAGCCGTTGGAGTTGGAGAGTCTCCTCTGGGAGACATGGGCTACACAGGTCCTGCAGGAGAGCTGAGTGCTGGTGGACCAAGTGTTACGGGAAGCAGAGGGTGAAAGCTCTAGGCTTGCACAATGTCAAAGGGTCAGCAAAATGATGGGGATGGCTCTTTCTGGCATTAAAGAAATGTCCTGGGAGCCTACCTCAGCAGTCTGCCATGCATGGGGAGCCTGTGAAATGCCCACTGTGTCCTACAGAAAATCTTCCCTGCAGCAAGGGGGTGACCTGTGCTTTTCAGGTGACTTCTACATGGGTGAGCTACAGCAGTCCGATTGTCAGGAGTGCTTGGAGAGCCCCGGCCAGTGGCTGGAAGGGAGACGAGGCTTTGGGACAAGCCTGCCGATGCCTCTCTCTAGTCCGCCTTTGCTTTGTCACACTTCTCCTCCTCGATGGCCAGGATGCGCTCACGCTCTTTGATCAGCTGCACTCCGCAGTATGTGATGAACCAGATGGACAAGGTGCTGACAGGGAAACCTAGAAGATGGAGGGAGACGTGGTCATTTTGTTGTTGCTGCTTGCCTAACAGGGCTAGCTCTTCTCCAGCGCTGCTGCCTTTCAGGTGGTTTGGGGAGGTCCCATGGGTTCATGATAGCCAACGACATTTTATGTTGTCGATCCAGCCCTACAGCTTCACTGAGAGAAGAGAGAAATTTCCAGCATCATGTTTTAGATGAAGCAGTGCCTGAGCTCACCAAAGCATCATGGATTGCGGCTTTTCTGGAGGAAAGGAGGCTGAAGGGAGACCTTATCTCTCTCTACAACTACCTGAAAGGAGGTTGTAGTGAGGTGGGGGTCAGGCTCTTCTCCCAAGTAACAAGCGATAGGATGAGAGGAAATGGACTCAAGTTGTGGCAAGGGAGGTTTAGATTGGATATTAGGAAAAATTTCTTCACTGAAAGGGTTGTCAGGCGTTGGAACAGGCTGCCAAGGGAAGTGGTTGAGTCACCATCCCTGGAGGTATTCAAAAAGCGCGTAGACAAGGCACTTCAGGACATGGTTTAGTGGGCATGGTTGACGGTGACTCAATGATCTCAAAGGTCTTTTCCAACCTAAATGATTCTATGATTCTAATGTGGAAACATGCTGGAGTGGCTTTGAGCACTGTCTTACCCTCAAAACTCCTTCTGCCCCCCAAGTTCAGACTTGGTGGTTGACTTTCTGCCCATTCAACCTGCCCATGTCCATCGTTGTTCAGCACTGTGACCTTCTGGAAGCTTTGTGCCCCGCTGATGCTAAGGATCAACCCCAGCCTTGTCCCGTACCTAGTGGGCACACAGTGTACGCCCAGGGAAAAACATGTTTTTGTCAACTAGGTAAGCGACTGAGAGCTCTCCCTCCACTTAGGAAAGGTCTGACGCCATTCGTAACCATGAGTCTGGTATCCACAGCAGAGGGGAGACACAGGCTTTGTACCTACTAAAACAGGACCTCTGAAATGAATAATGCAACCAGCAAAAGCCAGCTAGCTCAGCGGGCAGGCACTTCTGGCACACTGAGCCCAGAGCATCATATTATCCATTTCCTATGCCAGAATGCCAGAGGACGTGGGCTCCTGATGGCTATTTATACCCTGGGCTGCTCAAGAAGACTTCAAAATAGTGCCACCATCTCCTGATTAGAAATGTACAGATAAGACTGTAGCAGGAGGGTTTGTACCTGTCACCTTCAGGTTGACGCAGGAGTAACTGCTAAAGGAGACGAGGTCGGACAAGTAAATCCCTTTCTCCAGCAAGGGGACCATATCGCAGCCAGGGACTCAGCCCACCTCGGTGGGGTGAATGTGACCTTAGCGTTGTGAGGAGTCCAGTTCACAGCATCAGGCTGTGCTAGGAGCTGTACAAGTACACCTGGAAGGCAGCTCGCACTCCGGAGAGCTCGCACGAGAAGGGCAGGAGCTAAGAAACCACTGCCTGCACCTTTTGAACAAGAATTAAGCACGTTGGGAGCAGTCACATAACAAGCCAATGGCCAGGCCACTTTGGACCCAAGAGGACTCGACAGTCCCAGTTCTCAGCTCTCCTACCAGTGGCCCCCCCATCAAGCCAAGGGTCCCTCGGTGGGGAAGGCTTGTAGCATCTTACCTGTCAGGAGGAGTCTCTTGGTCACCAGTAGTGCAAACTCCAGGCTGTTGAGGGCTAGGATGTTGTAGAGGACGATGGCCCAGAAATTTGCCGCCCCAAAAACTGCCCTAATCCGCCGAGACATGGCCTCTGACATTTTGGCCTGCGGAGGGGAGAGGAGCAGAGAGTGAGGAAAAATGGGGCTGTAAGAAAGGGGATGCCCTGGTCCAACTCCAGCCAAACTCCAGCTGGGATCCCAGAGGGGTAGGCAAAAATTAGAGCAGCCTTTAGTGTCTCTGGGATGAAGAAACATAAGGACAAGGCAAAACTTCTGCTCTGCTGCTGGACTCAGATGCATGTGGGACTCCGGACTGGTGTTTCAAGGTCCCATGGGTAGGGTCAAGATGTTATACACGGTTTCATGCTAATTATAATGGCTGTATACTGCTTTCTTCATCTATTGCCTTGGGTAAGCCATTCCTCAAGGCAGATGAATGCTGTTGTATACCAGGATTATTATTAGCCCTACGTGCAAATCACTCCCAGCTCCTGGTAGAAATTGTTTCTTAGGAATTAAAAAAAAAAAAGGAGCTGAAAACTAGTGACAGCAGCAGAGTGAAATTGTCACTGGCACATAATCCTCAGGAGCAGCTGCTGCGAGTGGAGCAGGGAAGTGGTTTATAGCAATCTTCAAAGAGCACGGTGAATCCCCAGGCCACTTAGTGCTGAGAATTGCAGTGCCGCAGGGAAGGAGATTTCCCTGCCTGCAAGTGCTGTAATCTGATTAGAAGTTCAACGAGGAGAGCAAACGGAAGGATTGCTCTCCAAAGTTTTTATTCAAAAGGGGTCTTTACTGAACCGGTTTAGGACCTCCAGAATTTAGGTTAAGCAAAACAAATAAAGAACATAATTGTTTCCAGAACGGAGTTCCGTAAGTTTTTCTTCCAATGTGTCCCCAAGGAACCTTCGTCCCAAACAGAGACAGGGCACTAAGCTTTGGACTGTTTGGAAAATAATTCATTCTAGTACCTAAACATTTGCTTTTATCAGAAATTAGATCAAAACCACTCAGAATGCCAAGATGTTTTGCAGAACAAGAAGAACAAATGATTTCCATATGGAAATGTATAAACATTTCCCCATGGACAGACCTCAGATTTTGTGTGCATCTGTGGTACTTTGATGCCTCATTGGGGCTGCATTCCTAGTTTGTTTGGACCTCTGTTTTCCCTCTGAAAGCTCCAGACCCAACCTAAACTTCCCATGAAGCATCACAGGGGCAGGTGGGAATTTGCTCTGGGTGGGTGACACAGTGCATAAAATGAAAGGTTACAGGGCACCGGGACTGTGCTTCTCTTGCACAGCTAAGTAGCTGATCACAAGGATGCTAAAGGCCACAGGAGAGAGCTTCAAGTCTCCACACAGGAGGCCTGGACGTGTTGCTGCATGGCATCATCAGAGATGTTGCTCTTCAGTCTCAGCTGAAAGTGGATCTGACTTGTATGAACAAATTTGAGCTCCCTACAGCCATGGACATTTTCCAGCACCAGAGTTTGGTCCCGGACCCATTGACCTTCCCCTATCCAGATGTAGCCCAGTTCCTCACCTCCAGTTTGGCAAAGGGCTCCTGCTGGAAGAACTTCTGCACCCAGAGCTCAAAGTTGAGGCCAAAGCAGTTGAAGACAGACCAGATATAAACAATCTCGCAGGGCCCCAGCCACAGGGTGGTGACGGCAAAGGTGGCGATGGTGGCCATGAGCTCCTTCATGATGTTGTCGTGGTTCTCTCCAATGTGATCATACACGTACCTAATGGCCAACGAAAATGGTCGGTGCTCCCTGTAGTTAAGGAGACCCCTCCGGGGTCCCTTATCCCGCGCTCACCCACCACAAGCTCCTCCCAGGCAGGTCAATCTAGAGCACCTCAGTGAGAAAGGAAGGAGGTTTTGGCTGAGACATTCCAGCAATAAACCGATTTTTGCTGCAGTCCAGCTGCTCGTGGCTTGTGTTCCTCCCAAACCTATAGCTCCTTAAGGACAAAATACCACCCTTTGCCCCTCTTGCAGGTAAAAGGTTGATAAAACATGGGGATCTGTAAAGCTGCAGGCTATCTCAGACTTGCTGGTGCACAGGATTTCATCACAGAGCAGCCACCACCTTCAGTACAGGTTTGCTGGTGTGTACTCATGGCTGGAGAGAGCTGAAGGGCTGAGGGAGGTGTAGATGGAGCTCAGGCCACCCTTGTTACCCAGTACATGGGAGACCTGGGCTCAATTCCCCTTTCCTCCTGGTGGAATATGATCCTGACTCTTCTTCCCTTGAGGGAATGCTAAATCCACCAGACTTAAAGGGATTTCTGGGACAGGACTCTCTTATTCCCAACTTTGGGGGGTGGGGTGGGGTGGGGGTGTGTGTTGCACATTGTGGTGATCAGTTCAATGGTCTTAGGGATAAACAGACCGAATATGACTTCATGACTTCATGTTTCACCCAGAGGAGAGGACACCTCAGCTTTGGGATGAACAGCATTTAATGCTTCATTGCTATGTGATGAAAGAGAAGACCCTGAACCAGACTAGAGGCAGTTGATTAGACACTTACTTGCATAGCCAATCATTAATCCCTCTGTCAAAATGCCTACAACGCAGATGATAAAAAGCATGTTAAAACACACAACGTAATGACACTCTTCCATGCAGCAGTCAGCCAGAGAAGGCACCCAGACCCCTGGTGAGGTCCACCTACAACATTTTTCACAGCAGTTCTCCATTCTCCTTCCTTGAACAGGTCCCACTATCGATGTGGCAGGTTACAACACCTCTCTCCTTATCTATTCCTTCCTGCCCAAGAACATTTCCCTGGGCTACAGCCAAGTCTAGACCATAGGTTCAGTATAGACTGTTCAGTGTAGGTAGTCTCCAATTCATAGGCCAGCTGCTCAGAAGCAGAGCCCAGACATCTCCCCCCCCCCGGCACGTTTCGTGCAGGTCAAACTTGCTGTCTCTCTCTGTTGATGCACGTGGGCTACTCACGTTTCTGCAAAGACATAGAGCATGGTGATGCATTTTGGGGGCTGGGGTGGGTCCAAGTGGTCCAGTCTGGCAATGGTGTTGATGACCCCAAACATGACAGCAGCTTTCACCCAGTCGTACACCAAATTGGAGTAGGCCAGGCCAGCTGGAGCAAAAATGAGAGTCAAACAGGTGAAGAGGAACACGGAACGTATCACCTTCAGGATTTTGGGGGACATCATATCCCATGGGAGCATGTAGTCTATTGTAACAAACATAACATCAAGAGGACAGTCTAATGCTGTCTTGGACCAGCAAAGCTTTTAAAACTAAATAGCTTTTTAAGAAGCTTGAACCAAAGGACAGTATCTTCTTGGGGTATTCAAGAACAAACTGTTTATTGGTCTTGGTAGTCCAAGAAAGTCATACAGATCTCATTTCTTCCAGTGCAAGATTGTTCCTTCCCTCTAAGCCCCTCTAAGGCTTGTTAACCTATGACAAACTCATCACAGTTCTCAACTCTGACCTCTGAGGTTTTATTGACAACTCCATCAAAATGCCCTCCTCCCCAACTCCTTGTGGCCATAGATGTAATGTTGATGCTACACCAGAGCCAGGGACAGAAACTCTGTCTTGGAGAGGTGTCTGACAGTAGAAGGCAAACTCTGCAGGAACAAACACCAAAAATTTCACATTCCTATGGAAACAGAAGCTAAAATGCCCCTGTCTTGGTGGGACTGAGCTCACAGATTAAGGACCACACAGTGCCTTGATGTGAGCAGTGCCTGAGCTCCTGCCGTGGACCAGGCAGATCTGGTCAATACAGTCAGCAGAGCCTGCAGAAGAGCTCAGCTCCCTCTGGAGTAACACATATGCTTGGTCAGTCCACCCAGGTCTCTTAGGACCCCCTAAATCAATGCTAGTGCCATTCTAGCTGCATTAGGATTTTCTCCTGGCCGCCAGCTGCCACTCTGGAGAGACATGGGGCTCCTCCAGGCCCTGCCCGTGTGGATGTCAGATACCCTATGGCAACTCAAATGCTGCCATCAGACACGTATTTGGCCAGCTGAAATACTCCATCCAGCTGCCAGGTGAATGCCAGCACTGCTACCATTACCCATCCTGGGAATTTGGTTTCTGGAGGTCTCTAGTCCAGCCCTGCTCAGAGAACAGCCAACTTGAAATGGAGATCAGGTTGCTCTGGACATTGTGCATTTAAGCATTGAATATGTCTATTTTTGGAGAATCTATAACCCCTCTGGGCCCCTGTTCCAGTGTTTGATCACTCTATGAAAAAAATTCCTTACATGCAATCAGACTTTGCCTTGCTGCCCCTCGTTTGCTGCGTCCTGCTTCTTCCCTGCCAGCCTCTAGAAGAGTTCGCCTTGTCTACAACCCTCCCTTAGGCAGCTGAAGACAGCAGCTACAACTGCCCTGCACAACCTACGCTCTGGGGCCGTTTCAGTGGCTCACAAACACCCATAATGGGTAGCCACCTGTGAAGCCATCTGAGATACCAGGTGTACTTCTTGCAACAGCATGGGGCTGATTTTTTGGAGGTGCTGAGCTCCCTTCCAGTCCAAAGGCAATGGGAATGGCTTGGTGCTCAGCATCTTAAACCCCGAGCTAAACAATTTACACTGGGACCCTGTGAGAACGTCAGACCAACACCATCTGCTTTCCAGGGCTGTCAGCCCTATGCATTATCAATAGGAAGAAGAGGGGCTTTACTCAAACCTGTCCAACGTGAGCACTGCCAAAGCCTGTCAATGGAGAAAGATGGAAATCTGAACCCCTCACCACTGCTTTGAAGCCGAGTACAGGTGTGAAGGTGTCCAAGCAAAGGCACTCACCCAAGGACCAGTCCGAGAGGCGGTTCATGAACTTCAGGTCGGAAGGGAGGGTGAGGATGTAGAAGAAGTGGAAGAAGACGTCCACAGCAATGATGGCCCCCACGTGGAGGAGGGCATGGACCCGGATATTCCTCATCTCGTCATCTTTGCGTCTTAGCTCTCGGGTGCTCACCTGCCGGGATGGCAAACCAGGAAAGGGCTGAGCTGAGAGACAGGATGGGCAGCATGTTCCTGCATCCATAAAAACAGTCAAGGTCCAAACGAAGACTCAACCTTCTCCTTTAGAAATCACACCATGGACTACATGGCCGAAATCGCCACTGATTAAGGAAGACCTGAGGGACTAGCTCAGGCAAACACATCCACGGGGAGCAGGACGTGTCCCACCCACAACATCCCTCCAAGACCTCCACCTCAGCACTGAGCACTGCAGCAACGTGCCTCCTGGATGATCCTCCTAGCAAAAGCTGTTCCCATCACTGGGGTTTCCAGCAGAGCAGGCACATGGTGTGACACAGCGGTGACAGGTCTGGCTGTATCTAAGGGACCCTAGGTGAAAACCATACCAACCAGGGAGCTGGGTTTTATGCTCTTTCTGCAGAGATGTGGTCAGAAAGACAAATTTCCTTAAGGGTGGCCCCTTGCACAGGTCACTGAGTGGGAGCAAATACCCACACGCAGAACATCTACAGGATGCCACAGCCTGTAGGAAAGGACATCTACCTGCCCAGGAGAGGTTAGGAGCAGGGCTGGAATCCCACCTGACCGCTCTGCCAGGGCCAGATGCATATTTTTGGCCAGGGTCATTTGGGAGGAGGAGGAGGAGGATGCCTGATGGTCTTTGGAGCTTCTGCTGCAGACACCAGCTGTAAACGAGAGGGAGAGCTGCTCAAGGGGCCATCCTGATTCGGCTGGGACCTGATCAATGGGGATTTTGTCCCTGCTGCGTCTTGTACAAACAGGGGCCGGGCTTTGCCTCCAGGAGCTGTCATGTCTCTGACCGTTGTAATACAAAAATCATCAGAGCAAGCTTTCAGGATTACACTGGGCAGACTGATGTCCTCGCTTCCCCGCATTGCCGTAAAAATTGCTGCTGTATTCAAAATCCTCTTATGTTTATTACTTTCCCTTTATTCCCTGCGAGAGGTGGGAGCTCTCCCAACATAATCCGCAGGCTGCCACACCAGCCCCGTCATCAAATCCAGACGATTCCTGAGAATTAAAGCCTTTGCCAGATTTTTTTGTGTCTGTTATATGCCAAATGCTTCAAGGATACTAAGAGGCCACTGGACCCTGAGCTGGAGGAGAAGTCGAGGGAGGACAGACTCGGGCATGGAGATGTGTGGGAAGACATGGAGCCCCTCCTTTCATAGAATCATTTAGGTTGGAAAAGACCTTTAAGATCATCGAGTCAAACCATAAGTCTAACACTGCCAAGTCCACCACTAAACCATGTCCCTAAGTGCCACATCTACAGGTCTTTTAAATACTCCCAGGGATGGTGACTCAACCCCTTCCCTGGGCAGCCTGTTCCAATGCTTGACAAGTCTTTCGGTGAGGAATTTTTTCCTAATATCCGATTTAAACCTCCCCTGGTGCAATTTGAGAATGTGTCCTCTCGTCCTCATGTCTGCATGCGGTGGCACCACTCCGCCACCATCCCCTTGAGGTCAGGGCTGTGTCCCCCACACTTCCAGCCCTACAGAAGTGAATTTGTTCCTTTCATCCTAGTAAGGAAGATGCTTTTCAGCTCAAATGGTGCTGGCCAAGCCCTGGTACAGATGAGTTCCCATCACACGTGGGGGTACAAGGGCTCCACTAAGACGTAGCACCAGTAGGAGCCAAAGAGACAGATCCGTTCCCTAACTGGGCCAGACTCCATCTGTCCGCTCCCATAACTGCTGTTGGGCAATTAGGAATTCACCTCTACAATTAGCTGCAGCTCCAGCAGTGCAGGGGGGCATCTAGCCAGGAGATGGCAGTGGTGGCCAGGCCAAGACAGGACCCCTGGCATGGGAAAGGGGTTGGGGACTTACTCCTTGTGCCTTTGGGGTGAGCATTTTAAGCAGCAGAAGGGGAAGAATTGCTCATTAAGTGGCTACAGACATCCTGGTTTGGGGCTGTGCAAAGGAGCAGGAAATAAAACCCCCTCCAGATCAAGCCTTGTAGGACTGGTGGGAATTCAGGTCTTGGAGATGTGAGGACTTTAATGCCCTGATTTACAGTGTTAGGAGAAGCCAGGGCTTCCCGTTTCATAGGAAACACTGATGGAAACTGGAGAAGGAAGAGGAACGTGGGGTGAGGAGGGCACCCCAGGGCCCTGTACCCCCTCTGGAGGGGCTTGGACAGTGGGGGCTGCTGGAGCCGTGCTTGCCTGGGCTTCAGCCCTGCAGGTAAGACACGACTGGAAAGATGAAGCCTTAGGATGAAACATTTCTTCCGGCAGCCTGGGGAGAAAAGCCCACCAGCAGCCTGGCCATCCCCGGTGCTTGTCCACTGAGAACGGTCTGCTGGTAGACTCAATGCACCACGAACATCCCGTATGGGTGATGCCAGCACTGACCTTATGATCTTCAGTGTCAAATGCTCTAAAAGTCCTTTTAAATAGAACCTGCAAGACCCAAGGGATCTTGTTCCTTTCAACAGGCAGCATGAGGTTGTTAAATCCCCAGGTGAATGAACCAGCAAGGAGCAGGACTCAGATCAGGGCTCATCCTGCTCACTGGAAGAAACAAGATCAGTGCAGACCTTTTATTAGGCAACCAGTACCAGCCCAACATTGGAGAGAAGGTGCTGGGTTGGGTGGGTCTTTGGTCTCCTCTGCACCAGGGAGGCTCTGGTTGCTCTCCCCTGCCCTGGGCTGGTTTTTCTCTTGCACCCAGATGTCAACTGGGGTCCAAAAATTCAGAGTAGCTGTTCTTCTTTAAAAGAAAATGGAGGGGTGGTGGTGATCCTTACAGCACCATTGTTGACCAAGCAAGAGGTCCCTCTCTTAGCAAGCACTACCAGTTTGCTTTGATGACCAAGGTTGATTACTGGTGTAAAAGGACATTGAGATGGGAAGAGTGAGGAGGCAGAGAGCGCTGCTGTTTTGCTTGATCTTTGGCTACGAAACAGGCCCAGATGTCAGCTGGTACCAGCCCAGGCTTCTGCTGATGTTTTCCAGTGCTGTTTAGAGTCTTCTCTTCAAAAAGCTCCCTTGGTTGTATGTGATACAGGCAAAGACTTGGGGCACCAGGGTATTTCACGGAGAGCAGAGGAATCCCCTGGCTGCAGAAACACAGCCTTCCACTCAACCTTACTTATTTCTGCAGAAATAACTTCATCTTAAGACACACAGACCATCCTGGAAATTCATGCTCCTCGGGTGAACGAGCTGGATGGAAATGTGAGACTGCCCTTGCTGTCACAGCCACCAGTGTTTAGAGGTCCCACAGATGGGCACCACATGTCTGGCTCTCACCGTGGCCTCCTGGCTCTGCACAGTGGAGCGGCACGGAGCTGCTGATGTGACAGCATGTGGAAACCGAGGCATGGAGCAGTGCAGTTGCCCGGTGAGGAAGTACATGAGCTGAACCCTCCCCTCCTCATCCCAGCGTAATGCTTTCACCACAGCAACGTCTTCTCTTCTGAACTGATCAGTGGAAATAGCCAAAAACCCAAAAGGGGAGATTAAAACCCCATCAGTTTATACCACTCCCCACAAAAATCACAGCATCATTGCGCAGCCCAGACTATGGCCACAGACTCTAGATGACTGCGAGAAGCTCTACAACCATTTGCACCTTCACTGTGGGAAAAGGTGGGGTTTTATAGGCATTAAACACAAGCAAATAAATGCAGGGAGAGGTCCTCCTCCAGCCTGGCCTCAGGAGCACTCACCTGGGCATGGAACTGGTCAAACGTCATGACAGGCCCAAAAAAGAAGAATGGGAGGTAGAAGTTGTACTTGAGGAGGTCGAAGATGGAATAGATGCCCTCTTTCCTCTCGGCGCTCTCGAGTGCAAAGCTCATGCAGCGCATGATGGTGAAGCCGCTTCCTCCATAGAAGAGGACATCTTGAAGATCAAAAGCTCCCGTTACAAACCCGCTCTGGATGAGAAACGAAGAGTTACCACCAGGAATGCGATGTCATTTCTGTGCTCCCTCGCTTTGTGGAGGACATCACTCCTGGGGCAGCAGGCAAAGCCTCTAATTATGCTCTGACACCAATTGTCCCTGGAGCTAATAAGCCTTGCTGTTGGAAAGAAAAAACTGGGGCTCGATTTCCCAGCTGGCTCCTGCATCTTGGAAGAGCCGGGAAGTGGTAGATCCTCTTGGCCATGTCTTCACCAAGCAGCTATGGCCCATGCAGGCTTTGGTCTGGGGTGGGAAGGTCACCCTGTCACGGGGACATAACCCCCCCCAGGGAGTGAAGAAAAGCCAGCACAAGCCTGATGGAGGCAGGGGAAATGCATTTCGGGAGGTAAGCAGCAGGCAGGGAGAGGCGGCACTGTCCTTCGGAGGGACTGAAGAGCTTTATAAGGCCCTTCCTGGGCTTCCCTCCACCCACCAGCGAGAGAAAGTCTTAACTGGGCAGAGACCTGAGAGAGGCATGGGCATCACTGAACCCATCCCAGCACTGAGCTGCAGATGGGGAAACTGAGGCATGAGGCAGGAACACGTCTTGCCTGGCTGACAAGCTGTTGCCTAAGCAGCAAGAAGGACTTGGGTGTCCTGAGCTCTGGCCCAGCATGAAGCCACCAAAACATGACATCCCAGTGGGATTATTCCCAAACTCAGCGACGCAACAGTCCCCTCCCTCTCAAACCCTGTGGGAGCTCTGGCATAGCCAGGAGAAGCACCCAGTGTTTGGGGGTTCCCCAGGACCCCTCCTTGGGGGTAAACCCAAGGAGACAGACACAAGCAGGCTGGAAACGGGGCAGAGAGATGGTTCGAGACAGTACCTACCTGCCACGAGCTGAATGGCTCCACCTTGAAGGAGGCGAGACAGCAGAGCCCGGCCACGTAGCAGAGCCACTTCTGCTTGGCCAGCGCGACGGAGTAGAGGACAAGGCAGTGGGAGAGGATGATCATCAGGTAGACGAGCCCCATGCTGCCCAGCACGGCCAAGATCCCGTAGAGCATGTACATCACAGCCCGGTGCTGGGAGAAGAGAGTGGTCCAGACCTGTGGTCAGCTTGGTGAAAGCCCCAAGCCTGCTCCCCCTAATCTAGAACATCTCCCCATCCTGGAACAGCCCTCAAGCCCCCTTCCACAGAACCCAGGTCACCCTGGTGCTTTCAAACCCATCCCACCACATCCCTGTCTCACCTGCGGTACTGTCATGGAGCAGATCTTGCCGAAGAGGACATGTCCCGAGAGGGCGAAGATGATGACGTTCCTGAACGAGGTGAACCACATCACCCACTCGAAATCGGCCACGTCCTGCGGGAGCAGCACCGGGCGCCTTACTGTCCCCAGCCATTGCACCCCTGCCCCAACACCCTTCTGGAGGGGAAACCACACAACTTTCAAAGCCTTTTCTTCCCATTTTCCACCCAAGGGCTCCCGAGCACTTTAGCTTGGTCATAAAACCCCAGGAGAGACGTGCAGAGGTTTCTCGTCTCGGTGCACACAAAGCAGAGCATCCACGGCGCTGCAGGGCTGGTATTTTCCCGACTAGTTCGTTAGGGAGAAAAATACAAGTCACATGGACTTTGCAAAAGCGTGTCAGCAGCAGAAAAAACAGCTCTGCTTCTCCAGCGGTCAGCACCGACCATGTCGCCGGTAGCTAGAAAAGACCGAGTCCTTCCTCCGCTTACCATCTTCCTGCCGAAGTAGTGCCAGCCCGGCTTAATGCCGTCCCGAAAGGCCTTTCTGTTCATGCTGTCTGCAAAAAAAACAGAGTTACGGGGAAAGAAACAGCTCTGGGAAATTGGGTCCGGGTTTTGGCAAGGCAGGGAGCCTTCCTCAATGCGATGATGAGCCATCAGGGCTCAAACACCCTGTCCCAAAAGTGCCTAATTCCCATAGACAATCATAGGAGTCAGAAACCTCAACCGTTTCTGCAAGAATTTCCAGCAAAGTCTTTTTGCAGCGCACATCCTAGAGACCCCCTGGCTGATCCCATGAAATTTTCAGGTTTTTGGGCTTCCAGACAAAAAATTTGGGAACCAGCCCTGTGTAGGCAGGGTGGTTGCCTGTTTTGGGGACTGGCTGGAGACCTGTGACGTACCACAGCCTATTGCCCTGAGCCATGGAAATGGGGACAAGGAGGCAACCAGGCAAAAAAAATCCTTTTGAACCTTGCAAAGGATTCCCAAGCTGTTCTCTGCAAAAATTAAAGCCAGGGATCTGCTGCTGGTATGGACAGCTGTAAAAGCAGCCACCTTACATCCCTCCATCCTCATCATCCCAGGGGATGCGATGGGGAGCATTACCTCTGGATGCTTCGAAGATCCCGCTGCCGCTGTATACCACGGCGCACATCACGATGAGAGCGTAGAACCCCAGTTCGTAGCTGGGGAGCATCGTTTTAACCCCCATGGCGGCAGGTTACTGCCCCAGCCGGTGAGGGGGATCCAGACCTGGGAAAAGGGAAGGAGGAGAGGGAAAAAAAATCAGGGGTGAGAGCTCACCTTCCCTCCTACCCCTCCAACCCCCCAAATAATTGCTGCTGGTCCTCAGCAGCTCTGCTTTGTGGGTTTCTTTGAAGGCTGGTAGCTGAAGAGAAGGAGACAGTGACACCCAGGGCTGAACCCTGGGACAAAATTCAGGTGCAGGCAAAGAGGTTGCTGCTGAGCCCTGCTGCAAACCCCCCCCAGGAGCAAAGATTTGGGGGCAGCTCAGCCAGGTGCTCCTCATAAAGGGCTCTTCCCAGTAAGTTGCATCCATCCCAATGTTCAGAGATGTGCCAGGGATGCCAGCTGCCCAGGATGGGGTCCCTCCAACGTGTCTCTGATGTGCCCCCCCCCCCCCCAAATCCTAATTGGATCCTTGGAGGGGATCCAGGAGAGAGCACGAAGATACTTGTGCTGGGATGCTGATATTCCCCTGCCCTGGGCTGCTGCTCACCTTCTGCTGGGATTTTACCCAACCTTGAGCTCTCGGGGGGGAATTTCCTAAAACCCCGTGGTCCCAAACTTTTCCCAGCCACAAGCCTTAGGACCCCATAGGCACGATTAACCCCCCCCCAGCTGCTCTGCCCAACATCAGTAGGGCTCGGGGGATGCTGACGCCCAGCCCCGCAATTAACCCTGGGCTAATTACACCTGCTAAGGCTAATTAACCCCGACGCGACGTGCCTTTCAGCCCTCCCCGAGCTCTGCAGCCTCCCGACTGGGTGTCCAGTTGCTAAAAACGCAACTTAGGGCTGGAAGAAGCCGTATGCTGGGGGGGGGCATCCTCCTCCGGCACTGCCACCCACTCGTGAACATCCCCCGCGGGTGGGGGGACCCCGCGAACGGCGGAGCGCTTTGAAGGGAATAAGTAAGCGTAAATCTGGCTTTTAGGCAGCAATAAAAGGCGAGCCGGTCCCCTTCTGCTTTCGCATCTGCATCGCAAAGCTTTTGCCGTGGGTGCTTAGTTAATTTTTTTTTTTTAATTTTTTTT